GGGCGTCAGACTTGAGAGCCGCCATGGAAGAAGTCCCAGATACTGGAGATACGGAGTTGGCCGTTCTCCGTGACCAATCCAGCCCCCACTGTTGTCTGTCTTCCAGCGGGAAAAGAACGGTTGTCTGCGTCCTGGATCAGCACACGATCGGGAGAGCCCTTGCTTGGGCTGGCGGAGCTCGGGGGCGCCGGCCCGCGAGTTGTGTCTGTGCCCTTTGGGACAGTGGGCAGGCCTGGGGGAGGCCCCCTCGCTGTCTGCACGGGCTCTTCTTTGACAGAGGAACTTGGTAATGCTGGCCTTGGCCTTGTTGTGTTGGCTTTAGGGAGCCTGGTGAGGCACTCGGCCTTGAGGAGTTTTTCAGGGCTGTTAGGGAGAGCGTGTAGAAAAGCACTCAGGCCTTCGGCATCATGGAGGTCCCCGTGCTGTTGTGTTTGCAAACAGGTGTCCCCGTGAGGGTTGCCTGGGAGAGCTGCAGTCCGGGTGACGGGAAATGTCTTTGCGACTTGCCTGAGCGTGGTGGGTTTTAGCGGTGGGAGCACATGAGCCACACATGCGGGACGTGAAGCCCCCTTTCCCGCAGAGCCGAGAGGAGCCCCCAGAGAGGGAGAGCTCCGGAGATGGGTCTTCTAGGGGCTGAGGCGTTTCCTGTCATCGTTAGAGAGGGAGGTGTCTTAAGAATGTCCATCTGGGGAGACAGGGCTGCAGGGCCTCACGCGGTCCGTGGCGCTGGCTCACTTTTCCGGTTCTCTCGAACGCTTTTATCGCGGGCATCGTGCCGGTTTCTTCACGTACAGGAGCAGCGGGTGGGGAACGACTTGCGTGCTGGGGCTTGTCAAAAGGCAGGGCAGCTTTTGCCTCTGGAACGTTGCAGTCATGACAGGTAGCAGTGACTGGTTCTCATGAATGTGCAGTATCGGGGCGCAGGTTTCATCAGACGCTGGAGCCACTTCCTGGACCTTCACGGTATTCCAGAGAAGCCGCCTCTCTCTTTCCTCCTGGCTCCTTGCGTTGCCTGGGGCCTCTGCATCCTGGGCCCAGGGGAGACGGAGACCGGAGACCGCCAGCCCAGCATCCCGTGCTCCCACTGGCCGGCACGGACCCTGAGCTCTAGTTTTGCTGCTTCTCCTTTTCCCGTCGCTTCCTAAGATCAACCTGTACCGTCGTGGCTTTTCAGCCCTTAGCCTCATGATGCGGGAGTATTAGGGCGAGTGGCGGCGGGGGGGCGGTGTGCGGGTTGGGTGGGAAGGCTGCAGCGGGTGGTTTGTAAGATCTCTTCTACTTCAGGTCAGGGAGCTGGCACTCTTGAGTGTCACAACCCTGTAAACTCCCTTCCCCCCACGGCCTTTTCCAGACAGACACACAGACATGTGCAGCCCCAGGCGGGGTGTGGCAGAGCCACAAGAGCGCCCAGCCCCGCGTGCTGAGGCTGGCTCCTCCGGCGACCTGTGTCGTAGGCAACCCGGAGCTCTGGCTGGAGCTGGTGCACAGTAAACCTTTCGCATTTGGAAGAAATCTTTCCTAAGACCTTACGAATCCCCAGGTTTGGCAATAGAGTAACGTGACGTCTTTCAAAAGGCAGATAATGTTAAACTTTTACCCGGCCCCTCCCGAGTGTTTTGAGAGTTGGTCGCTGAGAGTCTGCAGACAGGAGCAAGCCCGCTCAGTCGTCATTTGCAGGGAGCGGGTGGGGGCCGGGGGGTGCCCTTAGGGCGGATGGTGCGGAGCCAGGGGAAGGGGGACGTGGGATGGCTGCCCGCCCCCTCCCCGTAGCCCGGCCTGGCGGCTCCTTCCTCTCCTTTCCCCAGGGGCTCATGTCCTGTCTTAAATCTGGTTTTTGAAAATGTGAGTACAGTTTAAAAGACTGGGTTGGGAGGAAACGGGTAGCGGTGGTTTTTTTTCCTTGCGTGGCAGGGCCCGATGGGGTGGGGGGGTCCCTGCTGTCTGATTTGTTACCATCTCAGGGACATGCCTAAGAAGAAACCAGGGTTATGTTGCTCTAAATGGGTTTTAGTTTATGATCTTTCATGTTGATCGAATCCCTAAGAAAACGTTACGCTTGTTAGGTAGGTTAGTTACTTATTCTTAAAGGACCAGTGACCTGAAACCTGAAACCCACCAGAATTTGCTGTGCGAGTTGCAGCTCATTTGTAAGATCGGTGACACCAAGTGCTCCTTGAATGGTGGTGACAGAGTGAGGTTCTGTGTCTGCAAGGTAATGAAGTCAGTGCTCCTTTGTTTCGCCCTGCCCGAACGGCTGACAGTTCAGGGATTGTCTGTGTGGCTTGCCTGATGTCCTCCTCCTGTGTGGCCCCATTGTCTGACTGGCCCAGGCTCTCCACGCCTCATGCCTGAGGGCGAGCTGGACTGGCGGAGCCCGGCCCTCCGTCAGACTGCAGAGCCGGACTGCTCTTGCCGTGGAGCCCGCCCGCGCTGTCCGGGCCGGCCTGCGGGTGCTGGAGCTCTGGAGCCCGGCTGCGGAGTCACATGGGGTCCTGCAGCAGCCAGAGCGTGCAGAAGTCCAGAAGGGGGAGACAGGTGCCCTTGAGCTGGGGGGAGGGGCGGCGGCGCGGGCGGGGCGAGGGCGGCGGGGACTGCCGCGTGGGCCTGGGGTGTTGGGGTGGGAGGGTTGCAGGACGTGTCTTCAGCACTTACTTGGGGAGCGTGTCTGTGACCTCTCGGTGCCTCCAGCCGCGTTCTGGCGGACGCTCTTTGGCACTGTTTCTGGTGCGCTCTTAGGGAGGCGTTTGCGTCTGCACGCTGCGCTCTGCTGCTCTGACGGAGGAAGGGCCTCCCTACCGGACTCGCACTCATCCTCGGGATGTCGTCTTGTGCTTCCTTTCTCTCGTTTTGTGGCCTGCGCGTGGCTGCAAGAGCTCTGAAGGCAGCGCTGCTGACGGTCCGCAGCACTTGTAGCCGGTGCGCGAAGGCACAGTTTGGTTTCTGTTGGAGCGTCGAAGACTTTCGTCTTCTGCATCGGTGGCAGATCCAATTTACTTTTGGTTCAGGACCAGTCTCCTTGGCTTCACGTTACTTTTAAAGGATAGTGTCGCTTAAATAATTTTCTGACGCAGTGGCTGGTGTCACATTGTGTTCTCTGTCCACCGTTCCTTTGACATTTTTGTCCGGTGACCATTTCTTCGAAGGGAGACATTGTGATCCTGGGACCAGCACCCAGATTTTCCCACAGAGGAATGAGCTCTCTGAGCGGCCCCTCCGCCCTCTGGCTCGCTCCCCCACTCTCGCATGAATAGACCCATTCAGGGGAGAAATCAGAGCCCATGTCCCAGTGAAAGCAAGTGATTCTCTCCATCTTAGCTAGCATGTAAGTTATTTAATCAGATTTGCACTTAGGAAGGACCGTGCTCTCCCCAAAGGACACACAAAACTGAGCGGACAAAGAACCCATGTTGAATGCATGTTACTGATGTGGAAATCTGAACTTAGATGAATGATTACTTTTTTTTAATGTTTAGCGTATATATTTTAATTACCAAGTTGGGGAGAAGACTGCGTTTGTGTTTATTCTGTACAACTTTGTGCGTGATTGAGGATGGTTGGTTCTGGAAGAGAAGTAGCACTTTGTAGTGCGTTTTGTGGATGCTCAGAAAACACGCGGGATGTGATTTTCTCATTGAAGAAGGCGCTGGGCCTCTGACAGAGCAGGAAGGAAAAGGGGGTCGAGGAAGGGGTTTTTGCGTTCCTTACGTACATCAGGTCCCCTGGGAGCTCGGGTTCCTGTACTCAGCCTGGCGGGCAGAGAGGGCAGAGAGGGGGCATCAGGCATGGGCTGTGTCCAGGCAACGTGCAGACGCCACCCACGGGCGCTGCTCCTCACTAGTGGTTTGATTTGAAGCATCCTTCCAGAGGACAAGGCCGAGCAGAGAGGGTTGGAGGGATAGCTTCCCTGAGGACGAGAGCTGCCGCCGGCCTTCGCATCCGGGCTCCGCCTGCTCACCCGCACGCCTTGGCACCACCCCTCCCTACTCTGGGAGGCGCCTCCGCTCTTGGCCATTGCTGATGGAAAGGGGTTTTTTACTTTAGCTGTTTTGCACTTTAAAAAAAAAAGAAGATTTTATTTACCCATTTGAGAGAGACAGAGATCACAAGCAGAGAGAGAGAAGCAGATTCCCCATGGAGAAGAGAGTCCGATGCAGGACTGGATCCCAGGACCTTGAGATCATGACGTGAGCCTAAGGCAGAGGCTTCACCAACTGAGGCCCCCAGGTGCCCCATGTTTTGCACTTTTTATCTAACATAGGTACCAGGAAACATTTTAAGGTTGGTTTACCATTCTTTCTCCAAAGTAGTGGCTACTTAAGGGCTTTATACTGGTGGACTTTTAGTTTTCAATAAACCTGTGTAGCATGATTTGAGACCTTCATTCTCTGATGAAATTGATTTACATTTGCTAGGCTCAGTCTAAAGAGCAAACTTGATTTTGTCCATTGAAATACACTTTGCATATGTTAAAATACATGGATTTTAAAGGTATAGTTCAGTGAATTTTGGCAAGTGTATTTATTTGCAGTGAATGCTCAAATTACGGTATAGAACATATCTATCACCCTAGAAATGTAGGCCCTTTCCCCATTGTCACTCCTTCCCCACTTCTGCTTTCTGCCCTCAGCAGGTTAGTTCCTCCCGTTCTTGGACTTGACTGTGAGTGGGACAGGCGTGACATTCTTTTGTGAACGGCCGGCTGCTTCTGCAGGGCCCCGTGTTGGAGACCGGTCCGTGTGTATGTGCTTCTGTGATTTGAGCACCCCTGATGATGGAATTTATCACAGGCTCGTTCTGCGTGTCCTCGTCCCACATGTGCCTGGCAGTGAGAGGAAGTCAGTTGTGCAGCTGCGGGAAGACTCTGTGACGCGGGTTTTCGTAGCTAATGGTCACGGGGAGGGACAGTAAATGCATCGGTATTCTGTCGAAGCAACGTGTGAGTTTGGACAGTGATGGACTAAATCTTTCCGGCCAGTAATGGTATTGTTCGTTTGTCGTAGGTGCTACAGAACATTTTGGAAACAGAAAATGAATATTCTAAAGAGCTTCAGACTGTGCTTTCAGCCTATCTACGGCCTCTGCAGACCAGTGAGAAGTAAGTTGGACGGTCAGTTGTACTAGCCAGCGCAGTCGATACCGAGGCTCACCTTCTCGGAGAACAGAGGACGAAATGCTGGTATAAACTGGTGAACCGGCTTGTTTGAGATGCAGGGATTTTTAGTCGGTGGGGCCTCAATTGGGCATTGGGAAGGGAGAGGAGAGTGAAAGTGTACCACTTTTACTGTTATTTTCTTGGTTTTAGGTTAAGTTCAGCAAACACTTCGCATTTAATGGGAAATCTAGAAGAAATATGTTCTTTCCAGCAGATGCTTGTTCAGTCTTTAGAAGAATGCACCAAGTAAGTAAGATGCTAAAAATTTACAAAATTCAGGTTATTACAACTGTTATTTAAAGATTCAGGTTTAATGTAATCTTAGAATTTGCATTTCTAATGATGGAAACTGTTACTTTGACTCTTTTTGGTGTATCAACTTTTATAGTATGAATTGTTTTTGACTATCTAGAGTTTGTAGTAGGGCTGTCTGCTGACTGTGGAGAAAGGAGAGAGACGGGCCAGCAGTAGGAATTTTTGAGGTGTTGGGTGGGCGGGGACGTGGGGAAAGAGGAGCTGCGCGGGCGCAGGGGGGCTACTCCTGCTCACGTTGCGGGCCCTCGGGAAGCGGAGGGGTCGTCCAGCACGCCCTTTGTAACGTGCTTCGGGGGTCACGTGCGCGGTTTTGCCTTGTCCATGATATTTTTTGTGGGAAGTGGGGAGGCATGTTCTGAGTGACTGGCCGTCTGACTGACTTTTTTCCCGTGTGACTGTTTTGTTCTTGGCCGACATCGGGCACGTGGACGGGTGTGGACTAAGTGCCCACTGGGTGTCCCACAGCTTGCGGCTAAATGCACACGAACGCACTTTCTAGGCTCTAGGTCTCCAGGGGATACTTGGTGTTGATTACCTGTGACTTCAGAGAGGAGGGCGTCCTTCTTACTTTTAAATTCTGTTTCTGTGGCAGCAGGATCAGGAAACTTTTTCTCCCGGAATCTGGCTGCTGTCTGGTTTCTCCTTCCTGTAGTGTTTTGTCTTTCTCCATCGTAAGTGGGGAGGGGTGTTCTGCCCTCCGTGTCCCAGGCTGACCGTCGGCCACGCTCAAAGTAGGTTCCAGGTTTCCTCCAGGCACTTGCTCCTGGAAGGTGTGGAAGGAAAGCTGAAGGACACGGGAAGTGCTGGCTTTCAAACAGAAACTCACATCACGCTTCCTTTGGTAGCATTTTTGGTTTGTATAAAGTGACATTAATTACTGGCATGAAAAGAGTAGTTTGAGAATAGGTTTGCCTTCCTTTTGATGTACAGAGGTCATTTGCCAGCAATGTGGGGCCTTTGTGAGAGGCCCGTGTGCTTGCCCTTGCTTTTCCCAGTGGCTGTGGATAAGGTGGACTAAATACCTTAATGTTTGTGTAGAGTGTTTGTGGCACCTCTTTTGGGCCTCCCTCTGTACTGCAGGTGTGTGGATCTGAACCCTAACATTCAGGGGGGTCACAGAGTGGCCAAGAGTCCAATGTATTGTCAGCCTTCAGGCCTTGCATCCTCCAGGACTTCTGTGTGACTAGGTAGTGTTTCGGTCACGTTCCTCAAGGGCATGGTGCGCTGGTGTTAGCCGTTGGATTTTCCATGGTGGGACGGAGGGTTTGAGATTAGCTTTCCTCATCGAACAGGCTTTGATCGTGAATGTTCTGAGAGTTTGCAGAGATTGGTGCAGAACTCAGGTGCATGGTCCTAGAATTCTACCCCCCCAGCCCCCCAAGTCCCAGCAGCTCGGGTTGAACCAAACTGTGTCATTTGCTCTTGGGGCTTAGCTGCCCTACGTGGCATAGCCTTGGCCCCCGTTGGCCCCAGAGCATAGAGAATTGCGTCCTTTCCCTCTCCAAGTGCCAGGCATCTCCAGACTGTTCCCCTCTGGCCCCCTGCTGCCTTCAGACAGTTGGTTCTATCTTTTGTCCAGAGTTTGTGTACCTGCAGGGGGTCCGTTTGATAGGTATAAGGTGGCTGTGACCTGAAGGGGGCCTCCGCCATGCTGGAAGGCAGCTGCGGGCACGGCCTCCCAGTCAGCACCACTCGTCGTCATGCTGTTCTGCTTCCACAGTTGCTGCCAGTCATCTCCCTTTCTGTTTTGCTCTTGGGAGTTTCTGCCTGTTTGAGGCTCAGCAGCTGTCATAGCCTGGATTTGAGACAGGGGGAGGGCGTCTGGGGGTGGGCCCGGTCTCCAGCTTTCCCCTAAACGGAAGGAGGGCTGTGGTGTTTTTGTGGGGGGGGTGTGTGTGTGTGTGTGTGTGTGTGTGTGTCTGTGTGTGTGCGCGCGCCTGCCTGTCCCCGTGCTACCTCAGTAGCAAACCTTGCTGGCCAAGGCATTCTCTGATTCCCCTTTTATACAAAACTGACGGGTTTGTGACCTCTCGTCCTCCCCTGCCCAAAGCCTTGATTTGGGGGTCTGGAGCTGTGCCTAGGTGGCCACGGCAGCTGGGTGCAGGCGGAAAGACGGGTCGGTTTGCCGCTCGGTAGCAGAGGAGCTTTCCAGGTATGGGCTTCTGTCTGCTTGGTGGCTGGTGTGAGCCCACGTCCTGCGATTTTGTATATTTTGTTTTCGTAGAGGTGGTACACAAGGAGGTCTTCCTCACTCTGGTTTTCTGTATTCGTTACTTGGCAATTTCCCTTCTGCCCATGAAGTTTAGGATGTCTCCCTTGTGTCGCACGTCTGCAGGCTACCGGAAGCTCAGCAGCGGGTCGGAGGGTGCTTTTTAAATCTGATGCCGCAAATGAAAACCTTGTACCTTGCGTATTGTGCCAACCACCCATCTGCAGTGAACGTCCTCACGGAGCACAGGTACGCGCCCTCACACCCCCTCCCCTGAGGGCAAAGGCCCCCGGGGTGCCCTCTGCATCCGCTCCTTTTGGCCACGTGTTGCGTGACACTGTGCGGATACCCACTTGTTCGTTCAACAGTCACGGTGTTTTTAGTTTCCTCTTGAGCTGAGGGCCCGGGAAGCGCTGGTCAGGGGTCTCTGAGGTGCTGAGTAGCGTTTTGGAGCAGAAAAAGGGTGTTTTTTGAAGTCTTCCTTTAGCGTGGAGCCCTTGGGACAGTGGGTTGGAGGAGCCGTTAGGATTCCGGGATGCAGCTGTGAGCTAACCCCAGGCTGCCGCTTCCTGTTTCTGTGAGCTCCCAGAAGGCAAGCACGGGCTTTGGAATTAGATTTGCCCTAAGAGAATGTGGTCCTGTTAAAACCAGGGCTGGGTGTTACGGGTAAAAGTTAAGTCGGAGATAATTAGCTTCAGCTTCTCAACCTGAAGCAGAACTAAAAGAAGTGAAACAGCGCATCTGCCCGTTGGCTCGGTGAGACCCCTTGAGACCCCGCGAGGCCGAAGGAGGCGGAGAAGGAGGCGGCAGAGCGGCTGGTGGGGCCGGGGCTGCTGGGGGGAGTGCAGGCGCCCCGCTTCCGCTTCTGAGAGAGGCACCGAGTTTTCCTGGTGTGCTAGAGAGATCTTCACAGTTACTCTTGAAAAGATCCATTTAAAAATTTTTAAACTGTAAATGAAAAATTGTTTCAGTAGCATTAAGGATAAGTTAGAGTTAAATATTTAAATATTTCAACTTAAAAACGCTCGCCGACAAGTATGCCTGGGCTATTTGTAAATGGAGCCGGGCCTCGGGGTAGCGTCCCCCCCCAGCGCGGCGGCCGGCGGGGCTGCGGAGCCAGGGCCTCGGGCTCACCCTGACCTGGTTGGAGCCCCAGCTGTGCACTCCGCTGCTGAGCCTTGCGCAAGGCCTCTTGCCTCTCCGGGCTGCTGTCCCTTCTCTGGAAGTGCCGGCTGGTGGGGTTACTGTAAAGCATGAAGCAAAAGGTGCGGGAGAGCGGGACTGAGTGGGCAGGTGCTCCGGCGTCCGTGCTACTTGCGGTCCTCTCTGTGCCCGTCCCCCCGAAGAGCCTGTGCTCCCACTGTGGCTCCGTGTGCTGAAACGTAAGGGAAGCTCCTCCAGTCCTGAAATGAGGCAGCGGCCTGTGGCGGGTGACAGAAGGAAAGGGAGGTCAGGATATATGGTGTCCAAAGAAATGGAACCCAAAGAACCCAGCCCCCGCTCCCCTAAACTCTTCCTCCTTGCCTCTGGGAGGGCGGCCGGCCGTGTTCCCACATGCCTTCCATTTTGTGCTCTGCCTTGGCCTCTGGGGCATTAGCATTTCCACAAAAGCTGAATGCAAGGGTTACATTTGCATTTCTGAGTATCGCAGGAATTACTGGCATGGCAATAGGGGAGACAAGCAGGAAGCAAATAGGATGACTGTCCTTGAACACTTTTGTTCTTCCTTTTTGGGGGGCGGGGTTTGATCCTCTAGGGTCTGGCTGGAAGTCTAGAGAGGGTCGAGTTGGGCTCTTTTGGGGCCTGATTCTAACGAGGTATTTTTCCCCATGGAAGTGACATCTGTCGTGAAGGTGGCATTTAAAGGGATTCAGATTGTTTACGAAGGTGCAGACTCCGAAGGGAAATGCTTGGGAGTACGCGACGTTTATCCCTTCTTCTCTGCTATTAGTGCAATGACTGTCTGTGTCCTAGCTGAAACCTAGGTGCAGCATTTCCCCAAAATAACAGGGAAGGAATACAGACAAGTTTGAGTGGGGAACCTGTGCCGCCTCCACGTGGCGTGTCTGCGGGACGGGAGGGTCCGGGTTGCGCTCTGGCTGGGGGAGCCGGGAGAGTGGCCGCTGCTTGGGCTGGCAGCATGCGCTGCCTCTGTGCCCTCCTGAGGTCTCTGGGCGGCGAGAGGCCCCGTCCTGCCCCCCGGTCAGACCCTGCTTCCCAAGCGTAAGTTGGTGAATTGAGACAGGGTTGCGTTTGGCTGGGACCTTCTCTTCGTTTTACCACGTTTTATTCTGGCCTCTTAACCTGTCACCTCTTCCCTGCTTCCCTGCACTTGTTGGGGTTTTTAAAGCTGCCCCGCTTATGGATTGATTAACCTATTTTTATGCTTGAATGTGCTTTTTAAGGATTGATTCAAGTGTACTGATTAGAAGTTGTAAAGGCTTTATTTGCAATTGTGTGATTGCTCATGCGGTTGAAATTCTGGGTGTGAATCTTGGGAACGCGTAGACAGGGCTGTGGGTTGTGTAGAATCAGAGCTCAGAGGTTCCTTTTGCATTTTCATGACAGGAGACCTAGGTTTGTGGCTTCCAGTTTTGAGTAAGTGATGTGTTTCATAACTGAGTCTGTGAAGTGAGGGTTTTTCCCCAGCCCCGTAACTGTTGCTTTCTGCTTGGCATACGCGGTGGTGTTCTCTAGGACCGTCCTGTTGTTGGCGCCTCCGGTGTCAGTTCAGTAACTGCCGCGGAGGCCTGCCGCATAAGGTTGCTAGCATCGGGAGGAAGCAAGCTGAAAGAGCCATTGTTTTGTCAAAATAGCCGTAACCAGCTGTTTTGTCTTGCACTAAATTTAAAAAACTAAAATGAAAAATGATCTATAAAAATTTAACTGTGTACATGTTCTGGCGTTCTGGGATCATGGATGTTAAAAGAAGTTAGGTCTTTTGTTTGCAGAAATGTCATTTTAAATTCTTAGTTCAAGGGTGTTTCTGGAGGAGGCGAGAAGTAGAACTTGTGTAGTTCTGTTACTTTTTCTCTGCCATAACGACAGTTAGGAAATTTCATGTGCAGAAGTATTTAAAAAAAAAAAGACCATTCCGATTGGACTTCCTGTGATTTTCTTGGGGTAGGAAAGCTTCCTCGCGGATTGCATTGGAAGGAGTCGTGGAATGTACTTTCAGTCCACAGAGTTCCGCTCTTATGGGACTGGGCTTGACTGGCTCAGACACTGCGAGAAACGCGGCTAACATACCCGTTTCTTTGTCGTCAGTCCATCCTTCCACTCCGCTGCTTTAGGGGTGGATGCGGTAGTTGGCAGAGACGGGCATTTGAGGATGAAGGTGTGAGGGGCAGGCACCGTGTGTGTGAGACACAAAGGAGGACAGCACGGTCACAGGGGCCACACCAGCCGCTTGAGTCTGGCGTAGGCTCTGGGGCTCTCCTCGGGGTCAGCCACCCCACTAGCAGGGAGGGTGGGGGCCTCCGTCCTCATGGGGTGCCTTGTTCTGTGAACGCGCATAAGAGGACACCTGTGTGGCAGGCTTGCTCATGTGCCTGGGGATTATGTACAGAAGTGTCGCGGGTGCCCAGCAGAGTGCTTGTCCGAAAGCGGGTCATCCCTTTCCTGCCATCCCTCCCGATGCTTTCTCCTGGCTGCGGCTCTCACTTCCATCCGAGCTGAGAGAAGGCAGTGACTGGGAGAAAGCCAGCCTGGGCTCCGCAGTTACCCGCCCGTCCCAGTGGGCAGAAGCTGATGTGGAAGGAGGGAGGAGGCAAAACGGTGATAAAGCGTCTAACTCTGCGGCAGGTGCTCCAAGGTGCTGCTCCTGGCCCGTAGGTCCCCACAGCCTCGGGCAGACGCCGGACCCACGCGCAGCAAGGTGGCGGTGACACCCCGCTGTGCCCGGCTTCAGTAACCGCGGTCGGGGGCTGTCGGGAGGAAACCAGTCTCCGAGAGCGCGTTACAGGCACACACAGGCTGCCCCGTGTCTTACACCCACGCGCTTCTAGAGGAAGCTTGGCGGCTTCTTTGATGACTTAAGTCTGTCACCGTGAAGGGCTGCCTTGCAGGTGAAAAACCCTGAAGCCTTATTCTTACAGAAATGAGAAAGCGTCATGTGTGATGAGTTTCTAGAGCTAGGATTGTGTGAAACCTTCCCCGTTTTAAGGATTTGCTTTGGCTTTGCTAACACCGCCAGAATGTGAATATAGAAATGAATTCGGAGGGTTGACTTCAAGAAGCGGAGGTGTCGGTACAGGAGGGAAGCTAGGCAGGCGGCCCCGGCCCCTCACCTCGTTAGTCCCGTGCTGCTGACACAGCCCGGGCACGCGCCCTGGCCTCGGGGAGTGCCGCTGGCCCGACCGGGCCACCTCGTTTTCATAAGCCGGGCTTCAGGTAGAGAGAGCTGAGGAGGTCTTGTGTGCTTAAGAAGTGTCAGTCCAGGGGATGCCTGGGTAGCTCAGTGGGTTAAGCGGCTGCCTTCGGCTCAGGTCATGATCCCAGCATCCTGGGATCGAGTCCCGCATCGGGCTCCTTGCTCGGCGGGGAGCCTGCTTTCCCCTGCTGTCTCTGCTGCCTGTGCTCGCTCGCTCTCTCTCCCTCTGTCTCTGACAAATAAATAAATAAAATCTTAAAAAAAAAAAAATAGAAGTGTCAGTCCAGTTTCACGATGATCGATTCCTTTGCTTTCAACCTGGAATGTGCAGCCTTTTATGTCTAAGTGGGTTTAGCTACGTGAACAGCTTTCCCTGTGGATGTGCAGGATCCGTCGTGGCTGGGTTAGAGGCGGCTGTGCCAACCCCGATTCTTGTCCTCTTGTTTCCACAGGCAGTCCTGTTAGTCGAACTGGAGGAAGTGGCCGTGCTCAGTACTTTTGAACTAGCCGCCTCGAAGCGTGTCCGTTTTCACCAGGAGCCCTAGCGTGCCTGATGCTCCTGAGAAGCTCGGGCAGTGGGCAGGTGTCGTTGAGTTGGGGGTGAGGGATCAGAGGAGGTGAGGCAGGGGCTGGGGGTCCCCGAGGTCAGACCAGGTCACCTGCACTGACGACCGATGTGCTCAGGTGTTCAGGGTTTCCATGTTTTTTGGCTTCACTTGGTGTTCCTCCCAGTAGGGGACGTGGGGGCTCAGAGGTCAGGGTGGTGACCTGAGCTGGTGTGTCCTCCACCCAGCCTGTCTGTCCCTCATGTCGCTGTGCCTGGAATGATGCAAGGACAAGAGTGGGGAGCATAGGGGTGCGGTTGGGGCACAAGGGCAGAGCCCCGGTCCCCAGCTTGAGTCCTGATGGGTCTGTCACCGACCCAGCTTGATGCGCACGGCTGCACTCACTGGCTTGCTCGGGTCGTCCCAGACGCTCTGCTGTGGGGCTGAGACTCGGGGCGGAGCTGGTGTGGTGGTCGTGGAGTCAGATGAGAAACAGGGTGAGGATGACAGGACTGGGAAAATACGCAGGTGTGGCTTCCAGCGTCTTTAATTTCTGACTGCGCGCTCAGGGTCCACGTCGGTGGACGCAGGTGACGGTATTCCTCGACCGAGAGGCTCTGAGACGTGACGGTGGGACGGTGCTGTTGACGCCGTGAAGCCTCAGTCGTGCTGTCTCAGCTGCGTTCCTCACAGCGCTCCCGGGGCTGTTGGGCCGGGGGTGCCCTGCTGCAGGTCATAGTAGCGGGAAGCAGCCTTAACCTTGTCCGTGTGTGTGTTTTAAGCCACCTCGAGGTGCCCAGAGAGTCACCGTCTGTTCTAGCTTGGAGGGCGCTTGCTGCGAGCGGGCCACTCCTTTGGGAGCTAGGCTCGCGGGGCGGTGGTCGGGGTCGCGCGGCTGCTCCTGCGCCTCCCCGAGCGGGCGCGCCCCCGAGATGGGCCAGCGCGGCCCGCACCTGTTGGGCTCTCCGTGTCCAGTGTTCCAGGGACCCCGTTCCGTGTCATGACCCGGGGCTACTGGCGGGGAGGGCGCCCCCTGCTTCGGCGCACGCACTCACCGCTGTCTGCTCTCTCCCCGCGGCACGCGGCCAGCGAGCAGCTGGGCGAGTTCATGGAGAGCAGAGGCGCCAGCAGCCCGGGGATCTTGGTGCTCACCACCGGCCTCAGCAGACCCTTCATGCGCCTGGACAAGTACCCCACGCTGCTCAAGGAGCTGGAGAGACACATGGAGGTACGGCGCGCCTGCCGCTTGGAAGCCGAGCCCATCGGGGACACTCTCCGTCCACTTCAGAGGCTGCAGCCGGCCAGAGTGCTTTGTGGGGTTTTGACCTAATGGATTTTCAAAAACGATTTTGTAAAATATTAAGTTTTCTCCTTTCCCCAGCTCCATATAAAACATGTCCTTCTCGTCCTCTGTTACCCACGGCTGCTGTTAGAAAAACCTCCCCAAACTAGAGAACGCACATCTCTGTTCTGCGAGGCATTGAGGTGCCGCGTTAGGGACGCTTGGCCATAGGTCGTTGGGGCTGCGTTTGCACAGGAGTGACAGAAGAGAGCCCGGCACTTCCTGGCGCAGGCTTGTCTTGTGTCGGAGTGCTGGGCTGTAGGCCCGGTGGGGCCTTGTGTCCAGGTCGCTGTCTGGAGGGCCCTGTGGCCCCTGCCCCGCCGCCCACCTCTGCTCTCGGGCGCCGGAGCACCGGGTCCGTGGGAGGCTGGTTGCGGGGGTGGGTGCAGACTCTGCCGTGGGCTTTTCTAAACTGTCGTTTCCCCAGAGCCCGGCGGCTTCCTGAGAACAAGAATGGCGCTTTAATGAGGAAAATCAGATCTGTTGTCGGTTGAAAAGCATTGGGAAAGTTTCAAGCTAGTCTGTACAGTGCCTTTTGAAGAAAAAAGACTTTACGTTATGAAAGCTAATAATACTACTTCTATTCAAAGGATTATCATCCAGATAGACAAGATATTCAGAAATCCATGACTGCCTTCAAAAATCTCTCGGTAAGTGATTTAGCTAAATGTTAGGGCTTTTCCTCCCAGGCATTATTACGACAAAGGAATGTAGAAAAATGTTTGTTACCTAAAAAAGTGTGATGATAGAAGAAACTGAGAGTTAGAATTTCGGTGTATTGAAATAGAAATGAATGTGCTAGTTTGTTTACCGTGGTGGTAATTTCGCCTGCTTTACTGGGCTAAGGACACCAGGAAAATTACAAATAGTTGAACCTTTAAAAAGCTACCACATGTTTGATGCTGTGGTTGCTTGTAAAGGTCCTTTTCTACGGACCGTGTCTTCGGGAGGACGAGTGGAGCCCCTCCCTGTCCCTGGGCTGTCACATCCCCGGTGTTTCTGGAATGTGTCTGACTTACAGCGCTTGCTTTCGGTCCCTTGCTCAGTCTTTGTGCCAGCAGAGACCAGTAAAACCAGAAAATACGTCCTTGTCCAGTCTGCGTTTTTTTTCCCTAAGAGTAGCAAGATCTGCTGGATCTAAAATAACGCTTGAGTCCGGAGCTGCCGTGGGCGTCGCCACTCTTACTCCCGTGCTCGTGAATAACGCAGACCCTCGCTCAATGGATTGTCTGTCTTACGGCCAACACTGCAGGTTCTGGAGGCTTCTGTGTCTTCTAACACTGGTGTTCTTTGTCTCAGGCCCAGTGTCAGGAAGTACGGAAAAGGAAGGAACTGGAGTTGCAGATTCTGACGGAGGCCATCCGGAGCTGGGAGGGAGACGACATTTCGACCCTGGGTGGTGTTGTGTACATGTCTCAGGTCATGGTTCAGTGCGCCGGGAGTGAGGTACGCGGGGCCTGGGCTCCCCTCTGCAGAGCGTGTGGGTGCAGAATGGAGTGGAGGGACAGGGTGGCTGCTGGACTGGCAGTGGTCCTGTCCTGTCCCCCTCTCCAGACTGTCTTTCCTGAAACACCCTATGATGTCTTGGGAAGAAATGGAGTTGAGAGCGGAACATAATTTGTATTCAGTGTAATGTGTTTTGTAAACGCTTTCTCCGATTCCTCAGTGAGTCAAGAACATAAATACCTTAGAATGTTACGCTTTTGTCATCACATGATTAGAGCTTATGAAGGAATGTCATTTTAATAGAATTCCTGTATCCTCATTTGTTGTCCGCCTTCTGTCCTTATGTGACGTAAAAGTGGCTTCTGCTTGGCCAGTGGGGCTCAGCTCCTAGCAGGCCACTTGAGCAGCGTAGGTCATCCAGGATGAGTGGTGGCCAGCCTGTGTCCCCTGAAGGGTGGCCTCCACACAGGACCGGTGTCGCAGCTGTCGCCACAGAGCAGGGTGTGTGTCCCCGCCTGCCCCGGCCTTCCTGCCGCCGCGCTCGTTCTAGGAAGCCTGTCTCTGATGGTTTACATCGTTGTGCCTGTTCTGTCCTCTCTTCTGCCTGGCCGTTGTGGAAGTCCATGGCCCGGTGGGTTTGGTTTAAGTGAGAGATGAGCATACACTCTTGTATGATCCCCGAGGGAAACCGTGGACTGTGCCCTTGTGCCTGAGTTCCCCTCACCCGCTCACCAAGCAAGCGTGTCTTCCTGAGGAGTGGAGGAGTTTTGTCCCGCCTTTGTGTGTGTCAGAAGGAAACAAACCAAGAACAGGAATTAACAGGATCGAGATATGCTAATGACCCATTTGCAAACTTGAAACTCTGAAAAGAAAACCCCAACTCAGGTCAGTCTGGGGACTGTCGGAAATTGTGACTTCCTAATCGACATGGACTTAAAAGACCCCACATCTTTCTAGAAACAGTCTTTTAATCATGCACTTTGAAACGTTGGGAAATGTTTCGTTAGTTTGTAAGCAATGTTTTCTTGACAACGTGAGATCTCCGGCGCGTGAGTAGGTGTGCCCAGACCGCGGTTGCAGGTCGTGCCTGGGAAGAGGGCGGCAGGTCGGACAGGTTTCTTGACGGTAGGGCCTCGCGGGGCCCAAGCTCCGAAGGGTCCGCCACACGTTGCCCACCTCCGTGCACTGCGTGCAGTAGTGCTGTCACACAAGTCTGACGTGCACAACCTGTTTTCAAGGCCTGTGGCATGTGGCTGGCATCGGAGGGCTGCGGAGGACCCTGTTTCCGGACCTGTCAGCATTTGCTGGGGAAATGCTGGAAATGGCCGCGCGTGGAAGGGCTGTCTGCGTGCTTTACGTTCCCAAGAACCTGTCCTGTCCTTGTCGTCTCTCTGGGTTTTTTTTTTTTTTTTTAAACCTTTTTGAAGCAAGTGGTTTTTAATAGAAATGCTCTGAAGTCTTTCATGTAAAGTAGTTAAGGTTTGTAGCATGGATGAAAACAACACCAAATTGTTTATCGGGCTTTAAGGGAAGTGCCAGGAATTATTAATAGAACAAAGTCCATTCCAACATTTTATCCTGTCCTCCTTCGGCTTGAAAGGTCCAATGTTCTCCACCACGACCCCCAACTTTGAGTTCTTTGTTTTTCGTCAGACCTAACAAACACTTTTAGACTAACTAAAAAGAGTTAATGGCAGAGCTGAATTCCTTAACCAATTTTTTTTTTTTTTAAGATGCTGCGGAGGCTATTTGCAAGTCTAAGACTTTGTCATAATTTTGTTTCCATTTATTTTAGCTGATAGAATTGGTAGAAACAAGGAAATGCGTACGTTTCATAAGATCTAATGTAGACAACTTGTTCTCACATTCGTATGTTTTAAAGACAAAATTACTTGCATTTCTTTGTTCTTTTACATTAGGAAAAGAATGAGAGATACCTTCTGCTCTTCCCAAATATCTTGCTAATGTTGTCTGCCAGTCCTAGGATGAGTGGTTTTATCTATCAGGTAAAATACATTTTAAATTTATATTCTGTTGTTCACTGTGGATCTGAGAGTCTGTTCCGGGCGTGGTTTGGATTTTCGGGTGAAGCAGTGCGCGTGCCTGCCTGCGTTGTGTCTGTGCTGCTGTAGGTACAGTGTTCCTCGTACACGTAGCTCCTGGCTGTGTGTCTGTGCGACTGTGCTGACGGAGTCCCGCGTTAGTCTAAGCGCAGTAGGAGGAGACCACCCGACATTTGAGGTCTGCCTCCTAAGGCCACAGGCTGCTTGAGGTGCCCACCAGCTGTGTCACCGTCCGGAGCCCCGTCTCGGAGGTGCCACCTTCCTGGCCACTGTGGTGCCGCGGGTGGTGGCGGCGGGCCGGGCTCGTGGGAGGGTGCAGGAGGGTGTGGGCTGGGAGGTCCCAAAAGCCGCAGCGAGGGCTGCAGGAGCCTGGCCGAGGGCAGCTGGTGTGAGGAGCTGCGAGTGATCACAAGCTGCTTCTGTTTAGTCGTCTTGCTGCTGACTCTTGAGAAGGCTGAGCCTGGAAGAAGAAAATGCAAGGTGCGGGGAGAGAGGTTTTGTTTGTCTACAGAAATTTAAAATGGGGTATTCCGTAGCTAGTTTCTGTCCCGTAGCTGCTTCTGGTTTCACGGCCTTTGTCCCGTGTGGTTACGGAAGGGCGGGTCCTCCCGTCGTGCGTTCCCGGGTCCTGCTCTGCGGCAGGAGCCCCTGTTTGTTCCGAGTTGGTTCAGACAAAGTATACTCTCTGTCCGGGACACGAACATCGGGGAGCCCCGGGCCAGAGGCACCCGTGGCACATCTGTGCCCCCACAGAAAGCTTAACCACACGCAGAGGAGCGGTTGCCCCACACTTACTCCAGAAGAAACACTGAAGCGGATGAAGCTGGGGTGTGCGGGTACCTCCTCGTTGGTCGGCGCGCTGTCCGTGGCCCAGGCGGCACCTGCCCAGGCCCCCCCAGACTGGCGCTCCACCTCGTTAGGCGGCCCCAGTAAACATGAGGCTGAGTCCTTCCCGCTGGCGTGCTCTGGCTTCTGGTTTGTACCCCAAGAGGCTGAGGACGGGCCCGGCTTGGACTCGAGGGAGCAGAGGTTGCTGTTTGGGGCGGGCTCAGGCCCCTGGTGATGAGGCCGGTGTCCACGCCACATTTGCCTTGGCTGTTGGCATTGACGTGCCTGGGAGGCCTCCTGGCCCTTGCGGGGCCCCACGTTCCTGTTCTGTGCGGGGGGTCTTGGGAGGGGGTCCGAGTGCTGTGGCGCATGCCGTGTGCCCCGGTGGAACCCATTTCTGGCTCTGAGGGACGGAGAACATGCCGTCACGGGGTCAGTGCTGCCTTCCACGCGGGACCGCCGCTCTCGTCTTCCGCAGCACTTCCCAGAGCTGTCCTCGCGCTTCTCTGTGCCTCGCACGGCGGTGCTCACGTCACTCTGACCGTGGCGATGCCAAGCCCGGTCCAGTGTGCCGCCCGGTGAGCTTCCGGACAGGCTCTGTGCCTGCATGGGGGGATGGGGGGCGCCGCACGCGCTGCAGGGGGCCGGGCAGCTGCTCGGCAGGTCGGGAGCGCCCCGCGGGCCACGGCACTGCCTCTGGCCCCTCTGGGGCCCCCTGCCTTGCTGAGAGCAGCTGCTTGGGGAGCCGCAGAGTGTTGTCCCCCCACTCCCTCAGCCCCCTGAGAAAGCACCAACGCGCTTCTCCTTAAGCCTCAGCCACCGGGTGCCATGGGAGTACGTTGTGTATTCAGCCTGGGCCGTTACTGACGCTCCGTGTGCAGCCCTGTGCCCATGAGGTCTGTCCCCTGGCCTCTCCCGTCTGGTCCCCACCCGTCTTCCATGCCGTGTGACTCCTGTTCGCTTCCTTTTGCTGCAGCTTCCCTGCTCTGCCTTCCAAGGAGGGGCTTCCTCCGAATGCCTTTGCGAGGCAGATCCGCGCCGCCTTTGCACGTTGCATCTGAAGTAACTGTGCTGGGCTCTAGTTTTCTGTCCTAATAGGCCCGTGTTCTGTGTCCCTGTGTTCATGTTTGGAGGAGCGAGGCAGATGCGACTGGTTTCCGTTCTCGTCGCTGCTCTGTACCTTACGGCTGGCTCCATTTTTTTTCTTTTTTGATTACAGTGTTATGATTTCTTATTTGCCCTAGAGATTTTGTAATATGTATATGGCACAAAGAGCTTTTTTGGTTTACACTGTTCTTTGCCATTTCTAAACTCATTTAATACTTATTTTGATAATGGTACCTTCTTTACTAGAAAAGCACTAATTGTTTTTTTGTGTGGGGGGGGTCTTTTTTAGGGAAAGCTACCGACGACAGGAATGACCATCACAAAGCTTGAGGACAGTGAACATCATAGAAATGCATTTGAAATATCAGGTGATGGGCACAGACTTTGCGGACGCTCTGGCGCGGTGCTGCAGGCAGCTCGCCGTTTGTGTGCAGATTCTTGCTGGACTGTCCAGCGGCCGATGGCTAAGCGCTGCTCGTTTCTGCTCGGTGGGGGCGCGGTGTGCCCGTGTGTGCTTTCTGCCGGGTCGCCCCTTGAGCCTGTTTCTCCTCGCTTCCAGGGAGCATGATCGAACGCATCCTGGTGTCCTGCAGCAACCAGCAGGACCTGCACGAGTGGGTGGACCACCTGCAGAAGCAGACGAAGGTCACGTCCATCGGCAACCCCACCATCAAGCCGCATTCCGTGCCGTCTCACACCGTAAGGGTCCCCGTGCTTCTGCGTCCACCCTGGGTCAGCCTGCGGTTGGGCTGTCAGTGAGTGAGCAAGTGCCCTGAGACGCGACCGCCGTCTGGACCACAAGGGCCGATGCATCCTGGATCGCCCTGAGGGTTCCTGGCATGTCCCTGCGGCGCGGCGGATGGCTGCACATCGCTTGCTCCTAGGCTGTGCCTCCACGCGCGTGGCTTGCCACATCGGCTCGGGGGGGCGGGGCGAGGAGACCAGCTTACGGGGGTTTTCACCTGGAACCTCAAGAGCCAGCAGTGCATGGCTTTTTTCTGAGAATCTCAACGTGATCATTGTTCTGATTTTAGGAAATCCACTTATTTCCACATAGAGCTCACCAGCTCTTCGACTTTTTAAGTACTTAGTTTGCAGTGTCTCAGCACAAAGTGTCCCATGTTTGAAACCTCTCTTTCCTGGTGTCGTGGGCTTAAGACACTGGTTTCAAGTCCTCGCAGCACCTTCCACATCCTTCTCCCACGGTACTGAAGTACGCACTTCCTTTCACAGGTGACCTGGGGGTGCACAGTGTTTCCAGGTGGAGGGTTTTTCTCACATTCCTATGAGATGGTTGTGATCTTTTTAAAACTCTATTTATTCATGTGATACAGAGAGATACAGGGAGAGAGCATGAGCGGGGGAGAGGAGAGGGAGAAGCAGACTCCCTGCTGAGCCAGAAGCCTGACACAGGGCTGGATCTCAGGACCCAGAGATCATGACCTGAGCGGAAGGCAGGTGCCCAAACATCTGAGCCATCCAGGCGCCCCGGGAGGGTCGTGATCTTTATCTGGACTCGCTACCATGTGGTTCACTTCTGCATTCATTATTCTTAGCAGTCAAGGCTTTGCTTAGCAAGAGTGGCTGTAGAGTAACTTTTTTTTAAAATAAAGGTTGATTTATTTGAGAGGGAGTGCAGTTTGTGCAGGCAGGGGGTGGGCAGAGGGAGAGAGAGAAAATCCTCAAGCAGGCTCCCCACTGAGCAAGGAGCCCAATGCAGAGCTTGGTCCCAGGACCCTGAGTTCATGACTTGAACTGAAATCAAGAGTCAGACGCTCAAGCACCTGAGCTACCAGGTGCCCCGTAGTGTAACGTCCAGAACAGTTTTCTCTTACGTGGTTTCTCTCGACAGTTTGGAGGTCGAGACTCCTTGTTTGCTTAAGCTAACGTTTCGTTTTGAATGGCGCTGCCGTTGATAACTTCTCCGTACTTAAAAAAAAAAAATACTACAGATGCTTAGCTTACCTGGAACTGAATTTGTTCTGAAGGTACTGCGTGTGCGTGTGTGTGTTTATAGAGAAAAACGAACTGCTTCTTCACATGGTCAGGAGTGCCTTGAGACCAAACAGTGGGATTTCACGCCAGGTAAAACTTGGTTCTCTGAACCCGCAGGTCGTCGTCACAAACGGGCATTGGAAATGTTACGTCCTCTCCCTCGGGAGTGTCCTCTCTGAGGGGCTGTGCATTGTCCCTGTGATCTGGCTGTGTCCAGCTGGAGTATTCTCGTTTTAGCACACACCGTTCCCTCTTTGGACTTGAGGAACAAATCCCAGGGTTACTTGCTGTGACGCCACTGCCACAAGAGACGTTCTACATAACTTTCTCCCTTGTGAACCGGGTGTGGGTGTCTAACCTGCCACAAGACACGCACACACGCCCAGATCTGGGTACGCCCGGGAGAGGCCTGTGGTTACTGCAGAAAGCAACCCTGGGGCGTCGTGGCATCCGCTGCCAGGCTTCCCATTCAGCATGTGTTTCAGATAGGCAGTTCTCTTGAAGGATGACCTCACTCTGATTTCCAGCTCAGAGAACATTTCGCTCTTTACTAAGCATGCCTTGTTGTTTTGGGTAATTGAGGTCACAGGCTAATTTGGAGTATTTTGTTGAACATTTTTGCATTTTTTTGTCACTGTAATGGAATATTTTGGTATTTTCCAGGAGTACGAACCTTCATTATTTTTCTGGGAAACTAGATTTTATGTATTACTTCGTTTTGATTAAAGCTGTTTTTTCTGAGAAGATAACTTGTTTTACCCTAGCGGTTGGCAACTAGTGGTTGGCAAAATGTTTGTGCCAAGAGACTGTAAAATGTTATCAGCTTTATGGGCCATACAGTATTTGTGGCAAGTGTCCTTTGGTTTTACAGCCATCAGCAGGGACGGGCCTGGCTGTGTCTTAGGAAAACTTTTTAAAGGAAAATGGGCATTTAGCCCACCCCTAAGTCACCAGGAGTAGATATGTGGCTGGGAGAATTACCCTCCCCCATAACCACATTCCCAGTATAGAAATGCCTTTTGGTTTACAAAATTCTGATCTCTTCTGAATGGAACACCTTGTTGCAGATGCTGCTCTGTGGCGAATAAAGGTGGCAGTGGGGTGCTTGGGTCAGGGCCTCCACATTCTGCCGCCTGCCCCTCGCCCCAGAGCTGGCCTGACACACGGTAGGCAGGTGCCCTGGGAGCTGACTTCTTGGGGTTGGAGATTAAAGAAATGATGACAGCCTGGGAGGGTTTTTGAAATGGGCAGCTCCTCGTGGGTCTGGGTGAGGGGACCCCTGATGGTGACTGTTGTGTTCTCTGCCCTCTTCCCCTGCAGCTCCCCTCACATCCGATCGCCCCGTCCAGCAAACACGCGGACAGCAAGCCGGTGCCCCTGACGCCTGCCTACCACACGCTGCCCCACCCCTCCCACCACGGCACCCCGCACACCACCATCAACTGGGGGCCCCTGGAGCCTCCAAAGACCCCCAAGCCGTGGAGCCTGAGCTGCCTGCGACCTGCACCTCCCCTGCGGCCCTCGGCTGCTCTCTGCTACAAGGAGGTGAGGTCGGAGCGCGGGCGAGCGCAAACCGGACGTCTGGGTGTGCTGGGTGGGCTGTTCTGTGCTTCAGTCGTATCTGTGGCTGTGATTCTGTGATGTAATTAAAATACAGAACCGTGACGGTCCTCCTCGTTCTTCTGTCTTCCCTTCTGCTTCCGCTAGCATCAGACCCTCTGTGCCCTCCACGGGTGGGCCTTGCTTCCTGCCGCTGGGAGCCTGCAGCAGAGGGCTTCCCTGGGCCCGCGTCTGGCGAGCCCGAGTTCCTTCGCACACCTAATTCCGGGGGGGTCTTATCTAGGCTTTCTGACCCTTTTCCAGGCCCGAGTGAGGGCCGCCCCGGAAGCCTGCGTTGGTCGCCGGGAGCTGTTGGGGAGGAAGAGCGCACTCACAGACGGAAGTGGGAGAACGGGGCTCTGCAGCTCTGCGTGTCCGCGCGCGTGTCTGGCAGCGTCTGTCCGGCTGGTCACGCCAGGTGCTGACATGCAGGACAGGAAGGGCCTTATGTACCTGGGAAGTACTTGTGCTTGGGGAGCTCTTGACAGCAGTGGTGGGTGTGGCCGCGTGTGAGTGAGTGTGCACAGCCCGAGTGTGAGCCTGAGTACAGGGCGGGAGGCGGGGCGTCCCGGTGGGCCTCTCCAGGCCCGGCTGAGGTCATGTTTGCCCAAGGCTCTGGGACCCCTGTCCTTGCCCGCAGCCCTTGAATGTCTTATGACCCACGAATACTGCGTAGGTGAAACTCTGTCCTTGACGGGTTTTGTTAACGAATTTTGCTGTTAGGATCTCCGTGTTGCTAGTGATAACGTGCCCAGGTCCAAGGGTGCTTCGCTGTGGGCGGTTACGTGACGGATGTGGGGGGCTGTTACTCCTTTAGCCTTGCAGATGGTGCTGGCCGTGTGGTGGGGGGTCTCCCTGCTGTTGAGGAAGGGCAGGCGGAGAGTGTCCGGTCGTGGAGCACAAAGCTTGAGGGGAGAGGTGTGCCCATGAACCTGAGCAGCCCTGCCGTCTGGGCTGTCCCTGCTTTGCTGGACCCGGTGTTGGGGTCTGTGTCGCGGAGCCCTCCGAACCGAACCCTTCGTGGAAATGCTTTCACAGTATGTGCGTGTGGGGCGCCGTGCCGCCAGCTGTGCCTGGGCCCGCAGGTGGGGACGCGCCTGCATGTGCGTGGCGTGCTGCCCGGGGCCGTACAGCACGTGCTGTAGTTTGTTCTTTGGACACTGATCTCTGCCAGTTTGAGGGAGCTCGTACCACGCAGCAGGAGAGATTTCGAAGAGCTTCCTTCCAAAACCAGGCTGTGTTCTTTCCGCGCTTTCCGTCTGATTCCTCCCTAGGCCAGGTCACGCCGGTCTCACGTCATAAGACTCACGAGCGGTTTGTGTGACTTCGGTGATGCGGTAGTGGGACCGTACCGGCATTTCATGGATGCTTGGCCGCTGGAGCCTGGCCTGTCCCCGGGGACCTTCTGTGCAGTCTCCAGTCGCTGCGTTTCCGAGGGAGAGGGCAGACCGTCACATCATGACTCAGTTGGCAGCGCGTGTGGCCGTGCCGGGCTGCAGTGTGCTCTGTCGTCGCGTGCGGCTGCGCTCACGGCGCACGGGCGCATCTTCTTCCCTTTCCTCCTTTCTTGAAGCTGCTGCCTTTGCTCTGAAAATAGCCTTCGTTTGCCCGGTCTCTCTCTCTCTGGTTCGCTGCAGCAGATGGGTCTGCTCCCGGATTAGCAGCACGCGTACGTCCCTGCCCGGGTCGGCCGGCCTGCCTGCGAGCCCGCGACGCCTGCACGCTGTGCTCTCCGGGGGCGCGAGCGTTTTCAGCAGAGCCTGCGCCCTGTTGACTTCATGTTCGTGCTCAGCAGCTGGCCGAGAAGCCCGGCGTGAGGGAATGAAGTGCCTCACCTTGAGCGGCTGTGGAAGCTTCCCCTTCCCTGCTGTCGCGGCTCCCACCGAGACGCCAGGAAACAAGGCTGCCTCCGGAGTGTGTCAGCACCTTCTTCCTTTTTATTTCCCCAGGATCTTAGTAAGAGCCCCAAGACCATGAAAAAGTTGTTACCTAAGCGCAAGCCCGAGCGGAAGCCTTCAGATGAAGAGTTTGCGCTGCGGAAAAGTGAGTACGCGCCGCGTGGGGCTGAGGACGCGGCCTGTCTCGGGCACAGCGCTCATGGCATGGCGGGCGGAGGTGGGGCTGGTGGCTTTCCGGAGGCTTCAGCTGCTGGGGTCTGAGCCTTAATGTCTTGTCTAAGGGAGAGTGAGGGGCAAGAGTGCAAGCCCTTGCAGCAGGGACGCCGGCAGGCCGGAGAGCAGCCGGTGGAGAAGCGCACGTGTGGTTCCCCCCGATGGAGCTGCTCGTGGCTTCTTGGCCTCTGTGATCACTTGTTCTGGGAACCCAGGCCCGGGGTGCAGGGTGGCCCTGGGACCGCCGGCTCGGTCTGGCCCCCTCCTTGGCCTGCAGTCTCCACGTGTCTGCTCTGCGGCGGGAGGTCGCGTTTCTCCCTGTATGCATGCACCACCCTCGCCGCCCGGCTGTGAACTTCGGAAATGCCAGAAATGGCACTGGATTTGGCACCTGATCTCCCAGCCAACCTCTCCCACGGGAGAGGCTCCCTTGGCAGTGTGTAAGCAAGCAGAGCTATTTGGAGCAGTGACTGCAGAGCTCGTGCACGCGTGCCCACCCGCCGCTTCCCGCTGCTGAGCTGCTTTCCCGGAGCCGTGGGCGGGAGGGCTTCCGTGGCCGCAGACGGCTGTGGGACCTGTAGGACTGTCTGTGCTGCAGGAGGACCTCAGAGGAGAGATGGCCTGGGCAGTGGCACCTCAGGGAAGCCGTGGGCTCTGTGTCCTTGCCCCTGTGCGCCCGGGACCTGTCACGCATCTTCCTGACCCCGTGGGGCATTGTGCTGCTCTTTGCTGTGCTTACTTGGGACCTTTCTGGGCTTCATTTATAAAGAAGACTTGTGGGGAGAATAGCTCGAGGTCACCCCGGGGTAGGGGGGCCGCTTGGTTTGGGGGTTCTGCAGGTTCCCTGGAGTCCAGGTGGCCTGCACGTGGCCCTGCTCCCCCGCTCGTCCTGGTGTGAGGTGTAGACGCAGGGAGGGGCCTAGAGGCTGCCGCGCGGAAATGAGTGCTCTCAGCACCCTGCCGCCTGCCGCCGCTGCAGCAGGCATCGTGTGGCTCACCGTCGTGGTGGTCCTCCTCCTCGAGATCCTGAGTGTGCGAGGAGGGCCACACTCCCAGGACGCCAATGAAATGGGTGAGAAGAGAGTCCTGCTTCCGGGGCTCTGGAGCCAGTGCCTGGGCTGCTGTCTCCGCCCAGTGCCCTCTTCCTTTGCTGCTCAGCCGCCCTCCTTAAAATGGCCCTAGAACCCCTCTATCCCCTACCCTTAGTGCCAGCCTGCCTGGTTAGTTTCCTGTTTCCACTGAAGGGGAGCTCCCTGGGAACAGCATGGAGCCCCTGGGGCTCAGGTGGGAGGTGATGGGGCTGGAGGGGAGAGCTGATTCTCAGAGGTGCCTCACAGATGGGCCGCCGCGGTGCCGCTGGGGCCAGGGGACGTGATGGGCCTTGGTTTGAATGGGATTGCTGATGGCTCGGTTGAGTTCAGACGAGCAGAGGTGGGAGCAGGGAGGCTGCGTAGGAGGCGAACTGATCTGGGTGAGCGTGATAGGATGGGGCCTGGACCAGGTGAGGACGGTGGAGTGGGCCATTGTGGACAGAGTTCAGATCTCTTCCAAGAGGGCGGCTGCACCTGTGGCTTCTGAGCCGGGCGTGACTTTGCCCCGCTTGGAGATACATCGGGAGGCCCTTTCGGTCGTTCCAGTTGGCTGTGGGGGCACTGCTGCCTTACGGGGGTGGAGGCCAGTGGTGCTGCTAAGTATCCTAGAGCCCATAGGATAGCACCCCGCGCAGTTGTGCCGGGGCGGGGAAGTGTTCCTGCGGGACGAGTCCCTGGCCCATGGAAAGGCCCGGCGGACGGTGAGGGTTCAGAGCTGCTCAGACCAGGGGAGGCAGCGTGAGGAGGAGAGAGAGACAGAGTCGGGTCTGGGGAGCTGAGGAGCCGGTGGAGGGAGCGTGGAGGGACCCAGAGGCGAAAGGGGCACCAGGGGTTCCATGTGGATGGGAGGAGAGACGTCAGCCATGTGACCTCTGTAAGGAGGGCCTGGACATCTCAGCCGCTTCCTAAAGTCCCCTGCTGCTTTCCTAAGTTAGTCTAACGTTCCGAGTCGGGAAGTTTCCGTTTGTGGGCTGGCCTGTGCCACGTAGGGAATGTGAGGAAGCAGGCTCCGCGATAGCCGTGAACTAACACGATGTCCCAGGGAGGCCAGCGGGCGTCCTTCCTGGTGTCTGCCCTTTCTCTGGGCATGGGGTGGTGTGTGCGTGTGACCCACCTCTGGGGGTCGATCCTGTCGTCTGGGCAGGCAGTCCCAGGCACAGATCGCTGTCCTCCGGGCAGAGGTGGAGCGACGTGCCTGTGAGGTTGCCGTACTCAGCAGGTGCTGGAATGGGAAGAGGGAGACCCTCTCTTGCTCCCGAGGGAGGGGCTGGTGGTGCTCACGGCGGGCTCCGGTCAGAGACGCTGCATCCATTTCTCAGTAGCTCTTCAACTCTGCGTGCTGGAATCTGTTTTCTTTTTCAGTTTTATTTGAGTGTAGTTGACCCACAATGTTAATGTTGGGTACGGGTGTTCCGCATGGGACGTTCCGTTGGTTTCGGGTGTAGCGCGTGGTGGTTTGACCTCTGGGTGCTCCGCACTCCTCAGCACCAGTGCAGCCCCCACCCGAGACCGTAGCGCGTCCCACCACCACCCGTGCTCCCCGTGCTGCACTTTCCATCCCCGGGACTCACTCAGGCCTTGATGGAAGCCTCTACCTCCGGCTCCCCCTCATCTGTTCTGTTACTAACCTGAGGCCATCAGTTCTCTGTGTTTAGTGGTCCAACGCTGCTGTTTGTTCACTGGTTTTTAATTTAGGTTCCACATGTGGGTGAAATCATGGTGTCTGCTTAATCTGACTTATTTTACTTAGTGTGATACAGTCTGTGTCCTTCCGTGTTGTCATAAATGGCACAATCTCATCCCTTTTATGGATGCATAGTATTCCTCTGTGTGCATGTGTGTGCGTGTGTGCGCACCACCTTCCTTACCCTTTCAGCTATTGGTGGACGCTTGGGTTGGTTGTTTCCACAGCTTGGCTGTTGTGGATAATGCTGCGGTAGCCATAAGGGCGTATATATCTTTTCAGATCAGTGTTTTTGTTTTCTCGGGGTATATGCCCAGTAGTGGAATTACTGGCTCGTGTGTATTTTGAGGAAAACAGAGCTGGAGATGCCGTAACTCCGCGTTGCAGCGCGTCCTGTGGAGCCGTGCCGATCAGAGTAGCGTGGCAGGCACAGAAACGAACACATCAGTGGAGCAGATTAAAGTCCCCCAGTCCGTGCTTGGGTGGTGGGCGCCTGACAGTAGAAGCAAGAACGTATGGTGGGAAGGAGAACAGCCTCTTCAAACAGCGGTGTTGGGAAAATGGGAGCACTTTCTTAGCGCATACGGGGAAACACAGTCAAAGTGGATCCCAAAGACCTAACTGTGAGGCGTGAAACGCAGAACTCCGAGGGCATAGCGAGGCTTAGTGCTCAGGGCGGTGCATTTGAGTTGCCTCGTGTACGTCTGTCATAAAATGTTGAGGCTTTATGTGGCTCCTCAATATTTAAGCTTTCCATTCCTCCACATTTTACTAGAGTAGGCGAGCCTTCTAAAATACATCTCCAAGGGTAGTATCTTAGCTAACACAAGGAGCCGTAGAAAAGTAGGTAAACAGAAGAGAGGAATAGTTCACCCCATAGGGTCACGGGAAGTCTACTGGGTGTGAGGCTCCGAGTCTGGGACTGACAGTGCGTGATGCTGTTGGTCTGGAAGCTTCTCTCCTCCTCCGTGCCTGTGGTCTGAGTACACGAAGCCAGTGTCTGGAGGGATCCGGAGGGGACAGCGCTGGAGGAACACCTTCAAGGTCTCGGTGGTGCTTTGCGACCCTCTGAGATGGCGTCTCTGGGGACCCATAGGAACCAGGGATCAAAGGAAATGCTCTTTCTAGAGCTTTCCAGGGTCCGCTGTGGGCACCCCGCAGTCAGCACTGGGGATTGTCAGGCTAGTGTGTTTTGCTTTGTTACTTCTTAGCGCGAATAAGCCTCTTTTCTTAGGGTGTTCTTGTGTGACTTGCTTGTTCCTGGCTCTTTTTTCACTTCCAGCATGGGAGGATTCTGTTTTTCTTATGGACCAGTAAGACCACTTATGTATTTAAGGGACTAACGTTTTGCTAGATCTGTTGGACATAAAAAATATTTTAAAAACCTAGAGCTTTTTTGTAAATATTAGAAAAGCGTTATCTGACAAGAAAATGGAGAAGTTCTGTTTTAGATGGTGACCTGTTCTACTTCCCACCTGTAACTTGATTGTGGCGTGTTGTGTCTCGACAGGCACAGCTGCTTTGGAAGAAGACGCACAGATTCTGAAAGTCATCGAAGCTTACTGCACCAGCGCCAAAACGCGGCAGACGCTCAACTCAAGTAAGTCCCCGCGTCGTGGACTGCGAACTGCAACGGCTCGCTGGGGTCAGAGGCCCCATCTGAGGGCAGGTCACCTGGCTGGCCCACCTGGCATCCCTAAGTCACCGCAGAGGGGCTGAGCTGCCAGTAAGAGAACGCATTTCTACAAAACGTCCTGCTGGGAAACTCCAAGTAGGAGGTACCGCCGGAGTGTAGAGAGCTTGCTTATGCGTAGAGAAGAAGATGTGCTTGAAAGACTCAAGATTGGTCCAGTTATTTTTAAGCTATTTAAACTTTGGTGTGATAGTGGGACTTTTTTTCCTTTAGATTCTTAGAACTGTCAAAAATATAAACCTAGAGCAAGGCTCTTTTAGCAGCCTCCCCCCACCCCCGCTCTTCTAAATGATGCATTTACACATTTTTGGAAGGAGAACCCGACTAATTTAGCTGGAGGGTTTCAGTACCACTGAGTTTTCCTGTACCTTGACGCACCGCTCTTAGTTGAGGAAATCGTCATCTCTTGGGGCAGGACAAAGGTGGGCTCTCTTTGTCTTCACTTCGCAGCCTTGGGAGGTGGAGGGCAGCCCGGGGGTGCAGGCGCAGTGGAGCGTGGGGTCTGCCCAGAAGAAAGGGCTGCTTTTCCCTCTCCCTGAAGCCAGGGCCACGGGTACCACAGGGGGTCCTGCATTGTCCTTCCCAGGTGGGCTTTGTGGGGTTTCTGTCTTGTTGGAGAACTGGGTTGATGTATTCCGGCATAGAAACTGGTTTCTTTTGGATCGTGTGTCTTGGATTCCCTTTCCACCCTGGCCGGGGCACCGTGGGCACCGTGGGCACCGTGGGCACGCTGCTGATCGCTGCCTCATTGCCACCTCCTCTGCCGTGGTGGTTCAGTTCTGCATCCTGGCTCGGTCAGACTCATTCTGAGAAAAAGGACAGGGGGGAAAGGGAATTTTCACCCGCTTTAGCTTTTGTTTTAGATGGCGACAGCTGGAAAGGTAGGGCTAGCGGGATGGAGCCCCAGGGGCAGTCTGCAGGTCACCTAGAAACTTCCCTGGGCCGGTGTTGTGTCTGGTCTGCGGCATTGAGGCTGCGGTTTGTCCCTGCCCTGTGAGAGTGCTTGTCCGGAGTAGCCGGGCAGCAGAGCGGCGGGACGTGGGGCGTCAGCGTGCCAGGCTGTCATTTGTAAATACAGTCGGTCTTTCGATACTGGTTTCATAGAGTTGGTTGAGAAACTTTCAGTAATAGGTTGTATAAAATGTGGCCATAGTGTTTGGGTTTTGAATCTGAAATTTTAAAGAATTCTCTCAACTTAAAAAAATTTGAAGCAAAATTTTAAGCTGGTTGTCTCAGGTGAATAGGCCAGGTAACCGAGCTGTGTGTGTCCGTGAGCGCTTCGTCTTTTTGTCTAGGAGACGGTGCCGTGGCCTCGCGGCTTCAGCTGCTGGAAGGGGCGGCTTGTAGAGCATGCGGACTGTTTGTCACCTGTGTCACATGTCTCCATTTCTCCTGTGTCAGAAGAGCATTGCACGATACGCGGATATTGTAGCTAAGCACCCCGAGGCCTCACGTGTCCAGTCCTATATGGCTGCAACCCTAGCAGTCCTAGGACCAGGTAGGATAGGGGAGCTAGATCCTTGATGCTGGAAGGGTAGTGTGGGATTGCAGTGGAGGCAGCTCTTTTCGTCTTAAGTGGCTTCGTAAAAACAGGGTGATGTACTTGACCTAAAATTCACCTCCTTTCAGGGTATGTTTGGGTGCGAGAAGACCTTACCAGCCAGACGTGTTTGGTGTCGATTTCTGTCTTGGGGACATAGTGACCTTCATTCGACTGCAGGGATTCAGTTGAGGGGATCCAGGCTGCCCCACTGCCTGTTCTTGTTAGGGTTTGGGAGTGGCGTGCCTTTGGACCAGAAGCAGGACGAGGACGCAGCCCGCGGCTGCTGCGCTGGGCCCTGGTCTGTCGAGCTGCGCCCCTGCATGCCTCCCTCCCCGCTGCCTGGCCGGCACCCTCGCTCCTGCCGCCTGCTCTTGGGCTGCTTTCTGTCCTCCCATGCTGCGCCCACTGTCTTCTGTTGCCCTCCTCTTAACACAGTGGCTCTCGGCTCATCACGTCTCTTGTCCTGCCAGTAGAAGGGTCTGCATCAGGGCTTTGAACAGGCCTTCCACTTTTTCTGTCCCCCCTGGCCGAGCTCAGGGGTGTGGCGGCATTGTGGGGGGCCCTGAGGGACGTGGACCCTGTGTACCCCGTTCTCCACTCTGAAATTTTTACTGTGGTGTTAGTTTGATAAGGTAAGTTTAGATCCCACTGTGAAGATGACTTCTGGGGAGTTCCAGTCTGGCAGAGGGAGAGCCGAAGAAGTCAGTCCCAAATCCCCTGAAACTCTCCTGCTTCACTGTGTCACTTAAAGAATAAGAAACCATTTTCTAGTGGAACGCATAAATGGCTCCTTTTAAAAGTGTCCTAAGAGACTCATGGTTAGTAGACTGGAATAGGATCGTTCACTTGGGAAATGTCTGTAGAAGTGTCCGTGGCTATGGGCTTATGCGAGGGACAGTTTGGGAACAGTATTATGACTTAGGTTTATTTAAATAATCCAGTTTTACTCTGAGGGTTGTGCTATTAGAACCCACCGTAAATAAGGACAATTGAACATTGTTGCCAGTTTTTAACAATATTTTCTCTCTTCCTTCTCTTCCCATCACCTTTTGCTTTTGTTTTCATGTTTTTGGTTGTGGCTCTTCCTGTCCGTCCCCTCCCCCTCTGCCTGTCACCCCATCCCTCCCCGTCGTAGCATGGCAAGGCACTGACCTGATGCATAATCACGTGCTGGCTGACGACGACCAGTCAAGTCTAGACTCCTTGGGTCGTCGCAGTAGCCTTTCCCGTCTGGAGCCTTCAGACCTCTCGGAAGACTCTGACTATGACAGTATATGGACAGCCCATAGTTACAGAATGGGTTCGACCTCTCGTAAGAGCTGTTGCTCATCTATCTCCCACCAGAACTAATGCACTTCTGAGCTTTCCTTAACAGATGCTTGTTGGATCGCAGCCTGCTTTTCTAGATGTTTTCTTGCTGTTCCTTGTCTTTTATGTGATATTTTAACAACTTTGGAGAGCGTTGCTGATATTTCCCACTGTACTGTGTGGAGGCCCACTTGCCAGTTCGACTGTCCGAGCTGCCGAGGTGGAAGGAGACGGTGCGCTCACGGGGCCGCGCCCGAGGGTCCTTTCCTCCGCAGGTGGCGGGGCTCTCCAGCTCTAAGTGGTCTGGGTTCCTGTTCTCAGTGTAGCCCCTGTCTCATTGCTTTTTGGATACCCCTGTGTGAACACTTTTCTATTTTATATGAGACCATACAGGTTTGTGGTCTGAGTGGCAGCACCGCAGAGGGGACTCTGGCCTTACGTAGGGATCCCCATATTTCGTGGGTGATGGACCCACCGATGAGCTGGTGGTGGAGAGAGGCGGAGGAGACGCGCACCAAGAGGGCGCAGTGCGGTTCCGACAGCTGTGCTCTGAGCGCTCCTCGGGGTGCTTGGTGGCCACGCGGAGCTGTGGGGGGTGGTGTGTGGCCAGTGTGGGCCCCGGGCCATGGCGGGAGCAGGGAAGAGCCGGCTCTGGCTCATCAGGGTGCCACAGAAGGCCGTCCCGCGCCCCCACTCCCCCTCAGGAGGGGGTTCGTTTTCCGAGGGCCAGGTTACTGTCAGAGCTCAGACCCTCCCCACACCGTCATGCCCAGCTCTCTTGATTTGGAGCCGTGGCTCTTAAGTGGCCCTTAGCACGCCCGTGCCACTGTGCTGAATTGTCAGTCCAAACGCAGAAGCACTCGGCCTCTGAAAGTGTACGTGCGGCCCGTTCAGAGCCAGGTGAGTGCTTGGCTCCACTCCCAGCCTGGCTGCGCCCCGGCACCCCCGTCACGCGGCCTGCGAGGGACCCGTGGTTTGTTTTCAGCAGCTAGCTGCCGTGAAACTCCGTTTACAGCAACCCGTCCTCCGTGACCCTTGTTCCTGATTGTCACGGGGACACCTGAGTCCATTGAAGACTTCACTTGCCGTGTCACTCGCTCACGAGAAAATGTCCGATTTGGGGGGCCCCCCCCTTGCCTGGGATTTGTTGTGAGGAGATTTCACTGGCCTGTCTGACGAATTTCTGCTTCGGAAGGAACTGAGTGTGACCGCTTGCATTCAGTTGTAGCACGCGGATCCGCGTCTGGCCACCGCTCTCTCCCATGCATGCCGTACTTGGTGTTCGGACGGAACGTCAAGGCTGTGCTTTAAGTACTCATCGAGACCAGCTTCCGAAAACAAGATGCCCTAGTAAATTGGGAATAACCTGTTTTCCTCTCCTCAGGGTGGCCGTAGTTCCAGGCGGCTGTGATTTTGCCCCTCCCCAGCCCTCAGCGAACCCCCGTATTGAGGGCGTGGGCTTGTTTGCGCCACGCCGTGGTTGGCCGGGTGCCGGGGAACCCCAGCAGTGGCGGGTCGCCACGAGAGTCGGCCGCCTTCAGTACTGCCTGCGTGAGGTCAGGAGGAGAGCCAGGAATGCCACATAGGTCTCTGTTCCCAGACAGGTAGTGGCTGCTCGTGCCGTCTGGACATTTCAATTTCTACATCAGTTAGCATGAATAAGGAAGTCGAGCAGCGGTCCTGCCAGTGTTCCCCCACGGTGGAGATGGGTTACGTGTGTTCAGCCAAATAGTAAGTGGAAGTTTGGGAGAAGGAGGACTACGAAGTTGATACTGTGAACTCAGAAGCACTTGTTTTCTCTTGTACACGTACAGTAGTCACTGTTCCAGACTCCGTCAGAACGTCTGTCTGTCTGCTTGGAGGCTGTCATTGGCGCCTTGGCGTAGCTGCCTCTGCCAGCCTCGGCGTGGGGGCCGTGTTGCGTGCTGTGTGTGCCCAGTGCCACGATACTTTGTCACCAAGTGTCGTTTGGGTGGTCTTCTGGAGACCTCTCGTGTCCCGTCCACTGCGGTGTGACACCATCCCGCCAGTCCTTCAGGGCCGGCCATGGCACAAGCACGGTGATGGTGCTGATTCTGGGACCGCCACAATGCAGCACGCTGGCTTCTGCTCAGTCGGGCTTGTTTCGAATACCCCAGTCGCTGTTGTGACCTGGTTGGAAGTGTTAGTGCCACGCCTCAAGGTGGTCCCTGGGGGGCAGTGATGACGTGGCCCCAGAGAGCGGGGACCCTCCATCTCTGGAGCTCCAGTCACGTTGAAATGGTGTCTGGTTGGGGCAGCTCCATCCTGGCCGTGTGCGCGGTTAGTGTCATAGTGTGCGGGTGTAGACCCTGAACCCCAAGGTAGGTAGAAGCTGGCCCGGGCCTTCCATGGAGGCCTACATGATGTTGACCTTGAATTTACCCTTGCCACAGTTTATAAGCTATATTAATTGTGTGTTTTGCGTAAGATTGCCAAAACACAGTAACATGTATATAGTGGTATAAGACCTTGAAAAAGAATCTCTATATTGTGCTTTTTCTCTGTGAATGGGAAAGCCGTTTCTAGTGGGTGACTGCCGTTGAAGACCCCATTGGATGTACACTGGAACGTTGCATTGTATCGTACAGTACCATATTGTTTGTGGTTGCACATGGCAATGAAGTGTTTGTTTTATAAAAAAAAAAAAGACATCTGTTATGTACAGTTGAAATAAATTTTGCATTTGCTAGCCTGTGGCTTTTAATATTTGTTACCTGGGGTGGGTGGGGGAGTAGCCTAGCTTTTGCCGCTGCGTGTGAGTTGCTCTTCTCCTGGGTGATGTCTTCCAGGTGAAGGCGAGGCCGTGGGACCCTTTCGCTCTGCTTTGATCAAGAAATGCGCACGTTGAGTAGATGAAATACATTCTAGACAGTACAGGGTGACTCCTCACGTGCTTTTATTTCCTCTTTCCCCCCCTTTTTTAAGTTTTCGCTCACTGGGAGGCTTGTCTTCAGAAAGAGGCTCTCTTGTTTTTGTGCGTAAATGGAAAACAAAGCAAAAAAATGGTTTATTTTTTTAAGACTAATGTCCGTTTTAATCTTTGTTTTATCAAGTGGGTGCCCAGCTGGCTAAGAAGTGGAAAAGATCGTCAGCGCCGGGCGGGGGCAGGGTGCAGACGGTGAACAGATGCAGGCAGTTTCCGAGGGGATGCCTCCCATTTTCCTAAGGAAGAAGTTAGACTCCTGTGATAACCATAAATAACAAATGACCTTTGGGAGAGATTTTACTAGATTTCTACAAGTTGTAATATCTTCCTTCATTCTGATAGTTGTCACAGTTGAGTATAATTAGGTACAGATTTTAGAAAGATTATGAATTTAAGAATTTCTGGAGTTCTGCCACGAATGTTCTCGACAGCCGACAAACACCGCGTGTAGGCTTCCCACGCAGGCGGACTCCGCTGCACGTACACATGCACGCATGTACGCACCCATGCGCATGCCCTGGAGTTGATCAAGCTGTGTGTTCTGTCGGCGTGTCCAGTTGGGCGGCGGTCTCATCTGACCGTGGAGAGGCGCCCTGGGCTTAGTGCCCTGCTCTGTGCTGCCTAGGCAAGGCCTCCGTGCCATACCGGCGCTCGCTAGGTCCCACGGTGCTCCAAGGGGTGCAGGCGTTGTAGGGGATAGGGCTCTGCGTGTCTCCAGCTTGTAGATCACAACTCCAGGTCCCCAGGCCACCCTCTTCTTCCTGTCTCCCACTGTGTGGCCCCGAGCGACCCCTGCAGGGGGTCAGTGTGCAGCTGCCCTGGCGTGTTTGTCCGCGGGCCTCCGTGGCTGGATCCCGGGCATCTGCAGACCCGTCCTTGGGAGCCCTCCAGCTGGAGAAATGCTGGGCTGCTGCTAAGTGTCCGTTACCGTTGCCTGGTGTTTGCCCCCGTGCCGGCGAGCAGCGAATCCAGCCAGCACCGTGTGCTTGTCACGCGAGGTGCAGACCGGCTCTGGGCTCGTCCGGCACTCTATTAAACCGTGACACACACCACTGCGGAATGTTGCGGAGACGAGGCTCGGCACTCAGGTGACTTGAGGAAATGCCAAATTAAAGTAAGTGGGTATTTCTACTGCACACCTGGTGAAAACCTTCAGCGTGCCCCATGTGCACTGTGGGCTTCCAGAGGTGGCCGTAGCCTCAGCATTTTCCAAAGCAGTGAGGCGCGGAGCCCATGTGTTAGAAGGTGGAGGGACAGCTAAATGTCCCCAAGCCGAGGCGGCATCTGAGGCTGGAGGAGGACAGTGCCATCCAGTTTACACAGTGTTAGTGCAGGGGAACCCCTCACCGATGGTGGCTCGGGTGGGTGGTGAGCCGGGTGCTGCACGGCTGCTCGCAAGAAGTCCAGACGGCAGACACACGGCCCCGATGAGACAGCTGTGCAGCAGAGGCCACGGGGCACGGCACCGTCTGCGCAGCACCGTTGGCATGCCGGGCGGGTGGGAGGGGAAGACACTTGTGTCTGCTAGCTGTCTGAGCGACTTCAGGGACGTCCCACACGAGCGCTTCCCGTGAGGGCCCACGATCCCTCCCAGGAGCCCGGAGCAGTGACCCCCCACCCCCGGGAGGTCCTCGCACGGACGTATATTGTCAGCGCTTGTACCCCGTTATCTCCTGGAAACACAGGCCTTGAATGTCTGGAACCATCATGAACCCCTTCATCTGTGTCTCATCCCCTCTTAGAGGACTTTAAATAAAGTGACAGAACATTGTTTGCGGGTTCTTTTGTTTTTCCCAACTAAGTGCTTCAGGGAAGATGTGCTGTGACCCCTCTCAGAGTACCCACATGACCGTGAAGGTGACTTGTTCGATCTACTTTGTAAAATTTGGCTCTTTCTATAAGAACAAACTTACTTATAAACCTGGCTGGAGAACATTCCTTTATTTAATTTTCTGAAAAACTAAGTTTTCTGTCCTTTTAGGAAAATGTTCCAGTGAAACTAGGAACATTATTAGCATCACACGGATTCCTCTGCAGGCTGCTAAGTGACATTTAGAAGCTACCTGGCTCGCTGCTGAGTGCACACGTGGCATTTTCCGCGCCAGCATCTTTCAGGAATCGAGCCGTTAAGTCCATACATGCTACCTAAACATTCTCAAATTTCCGTTCGTATGATAAATTCGAGTGTGTTCTCAGTGTCTGTCCAAAAATAACCGTCACAGTGTGCGACCCTCCGACCACTTGTCACAGGCTGTTAGTCCTCTGATGTCACGTTACGTAATGGAATTTAAGGCTTCCGTCTTTGTGACTTTACCCGGTAAAAGATATTAATTGTGATTCTTAAGTTCTCAGAGCAGCTAGGTTCATTCTGCTCTGAGTTCTGGGCCTCCCCGGCCCGTGTGGGACGGGGCAGCACCTGCCGTCTGACCCATGTTCTTACGATGCAGTTGTCCCTTGTTTCTCTTGCTGCTTGAAGCTGGGAGCGCCTCCCGTCAGCAGGCTGAAGTGTGGTGTGGAAGGTGTGGAAACAGCCGGAGAGATGCGCGGAAGCCGGCGAACTTCTCATCCCGTCACGTCCTCACGTGGATGAGCTAATGAGACGTCGTGTTCCCAGCCGGCGGTGACGGACATGGTGGTGCCCGATCCGATCTGACTGTAACACAGAGCAGGTGGCGGGGGCATTTAGGAGTTGGCTAAAGTTGACCCATGACCTCTCTTAACGGCAAAAATTCACTGAATCCGTTTTTTTCCACACATCACATTCGAGTTTTTATGAATCCCTTTTTGTTTTTCTGGGGAAAACAGCACATGAACTAACTCTCCTGATGAAAACTGAGGTGACCGTTGGGTGTCTTGGAAGCGACCTTCAGAATTCTTACCTCGGCTGGGACTGCTGAGCTTTCCCTTATCTGTCTCACATCCCAGTTTCCTTCCTGAGCGTTCTTTTCCCGGGTGGCCCAGAAGCCCCAGAAGGGCCCAGAAGAAGATGTGCCTGCGGTCCCTTGCAGAGCTGTGGCCCCTGGAGCAGGTGATCCCCCAGGAAGCCGACTCTCAGCATAGTGAGGTCTTAGAAGACGTGTCCCTCTCAGGAGCCGTGTCTTGAAGGATGTTGCCCTCTGTCTGAAGAGTGATTCTCCTTGTGGGTGGGTGACTGTGACGGGGTTGGGGGGGGGCTTCCCCTTAGGGGTACAGCAGAGCAACACCTCCCACTCCCTGGCAGTGACAGGGGTGAGTGGGAGAGCAGCCGTGCCCAGAGGCACCCCCCACGCACCGGCCTGCTGTGGCCTGTGACAGGATCCCAAGCGCTCCGGCCGATCGTAGTCCTGAAGCTGCTGGCGCGCCGAGGGGCCCTTCCTTCCTGGGGACGGAAATGTATAGATGTGCCACGGGACACAGAACCAGACTCGCTTGCCCGGAGTTTCATCTTCTCTTGTTTGGATGACAGAGGAGGAGGTGGTCCACATCCTAGCTTTGTCCACATCCTGCCATTACGTTTTATGGTGCGCTTTGTGGCGGGGATGGACCAGGTCTTGGGAGATGTCCAGATGGCAGCAGGGAGAGTCGAGGCCAAGGCCCCGTGGCCAGCAAACTCCGGCCCTCTTCCCTGTGGCGTGCTGCCATGGAAACGATGGAGCCCTGTGGCCGTCAAGCTTTGATGGTCATTGTTAATCGTGTTCAGAGGAGAGTAAGTGGACACAAAAATGCTGGTGAAACTATTTTTTTTAACCCCGTCTTTAAGAAAATCGGTGTCCTCCTGAATGCATGGTGTGAGGAGGCACAGCCGTGTTAGAGTTTGGCAAACTTTGTGGAAGGCGAACCAAAGGTGAACCAGGAGGCAGGCGAGTCGTACCAGCGTGTCTGTAATCCGCTAGAAGCTCTCACACACCAAGTGCATGTGTTTAACGGGGAAATGTCTGTCAAAATACCACTTGTAGGCGTTCCTGTTCTGTGGCAGAGCCGCCCCTCAAAGTCGCATCGGATACTCTTCAAACATACAATTGTGGTGCTGGAGAGCTCTCGGGAGAGCACTACCTCAGATTTTCTTTTCTGTGTCCTTAGAGAAAGATTTGAGTCTGCCTTCTTACCTGTGAGATATTTGGGTTTCCCAGTTTCTCAGGTACCCACCCCCCAGCGCTCGCTTCCTGGGACCGGGCCTCGGTGACACGGCGCACACGGCCCTGCGACATCGTCCGCCATTCACTGCCTTCCGGTGGGAGACGTGTGCGCGTTCCAGGGGATGTCAGAGGAGGCTGTCATGAAAGGAGTAATAAATTCGTCTTTCTCAACCACACGTCTCCGTCTTCATTTTTACCGGTCACTGTAGAGTCGAACGTTTCGCCTGCTATGGGCACGGATGAGCACTCGGCGTGCGCGCCCCTGCCTGACCCATCTTCCTAAACTGCCTCAACTTCTGATTGATTTGGATGTGTCCCCCCCGCCCCAATTTTTTTGGTATTTATTCCAAAACATCCAGGGCGCTGGGCTCAGGACCTTGCTACCTGTGGAAGATTGCAGGATTTAAAAGCTCCATGATCCTGACTCAGGAACCGAAGCTTAATAAATCACCAAAAGGCCAGCGCTTCCTTCCGTCTAGATGCTTTAGGCATGAGGAGGACTGAGTTCGCTAGGCAGAAGCGGGGAAAATGGGTAAAAAGCTGTCCTTCCGTGCCGTATCTAGAGAGTTCTGTAACCCGCGGTCCCCGGGATTTGATAGAACGTGTAAGTTGCGTTGTCGAGTCAGGTTTCCGGTTCTGCCACGGCGCTCACCTGTGGGTTTGTTTGTGTTTTTGTTCCAACGACGTAGGTTCACGCAAAGAGTCTGCTCCCCAAGTTTTGCTTCCAGAGGAGGAGAAAATGATAGTTGAAGAAACCAAGAGTAACGGTCAGACGGTGATCGAGGAGAAGTAAGCGACCCCCCAGCATTTCAGGGCGGGCACGTGGACGCCGGGGGTGCGGGCTGGGTGCTAGGCTTCCCCGCGCTGCGGCCCGGCGTGCGGCGTGGCTCGGTGAGCGGGCAGGGAGCAGGCGTGCCTCCTGGGGCGCCCTTCCCGGCGCCGTCCTCCCTCCTGTCCTGGTTCAGGTGTTCGACCCGTTCTGTTTCAGGAGCCTCGTTGACACGGTCTACGCACTAAGGGATGAAGTCCAGGAGTTGAGACAGGTGAGTCCGAACCAGCTCCTTCATCTGTCACGGAGCCCGAGGAAAGTGCCGCGGGAAAAGCAAGGCTGTCTGTCCCTGTGCGCGGGGACTCAGGGGTGTCCTTGGACATCCTCTATGCTCCAGGGCCAGTTTGGTCCCTGGTGAACGGGACAGACTAGGAAATGAATTCTTAAAGGGACCTGTTCAGACTTTGTACTTGCTGTTGGCATCCTCATTTAAAACCTCTAAATATGGGGGCGCCTGGGTGGCTCAGCAGGTGAAGCCTCTGTTGTCGGCTCAGGTCATGGTCTCGGTCCTGGGGTCGAGCCCTGCGTCGGGAGGGGATGCAGGGAGCCTGCTTCCCCTTCTCTCTCTGCCTTCCTCTCCACCTGCTTGTGATCGATCTCTCTCTCTCTCTCTCTCTCTCTCTCTGTGTCAAATAAATAAATAAAATCTTTTTTTTTTAAAAGATTATTTATTTATTTATTTATTTGACAGAGAGAGGGAGAGACAGACACCACAAGCAGGCAGAGAGGCAGACAGGGGGAGGGAAGCAGGCTCCCCACTGAGCAGAGAGCTGGACGCAGGGCTCAATCCCAGGACCCTGAGACCACAACCCAAGTGAAGGCAGAGGCTTAACCCACTGAGCCACCCAGGTCCCCCACATAAATAAAATCTTAAAAAAAAAAAACCACCTAAAAATCCTTCTGGGATTCCCCAGCACCTGCTGGTGGAACGCATGGTTCTTGTTCTTAAGTCAGGTAACCTTGGCTAAGTGACTGAGTATATTTTGCATATTTTGGGTAAAGTACATCGCACACCGGTTTGTGTCTCCGAGGGGTGCGTGGTGAACCCCTGCACGCGAGGCGGGGGGGTTGGGGTGTGGTGCCGTCTGGGTCTGGCTGATGTGACTGCGGCCCCACGGCTTCCGCACGCTTCTCCTACGAGTTTGAAGGGACCGTCAACAGTGGGTACGTGTTTGTGCGCCTCGGGGTGATGGGGTCAGTGTACGTGAGGGCAGGCTTTGCCCCTTTCCTCACGCCCTTCCAACTGCTGCTCCATGTTTCTCTAGGAAGGCTGTAAGGTCTGCGCAGATGTGGGAAGATGCTCGCTGTCCCTCTTGTAACTGTCCGCTGTCCTTTCGTGTGTGACGTGGAGATCCTCGCCCCGGAGTGAGGGTTGCTCTGCCCTCTCTGATGGGTTCTGCTCGTGGGAGCATGTCTGCGGATGTGGCATGTTCCAGCCTGGGACTACGCCTGGGAGACAGGTCCCCTCGGTGCCCACTCAGTCCCCTGTGGTCTGCTTCGTTTGCAGGATAACAAAAAGATGAAGAAGTCTCTCGAAGAGGAGCAGAGAGCCCGCAAAGATCTGGAGAAGCTGGTGAGGAAAGTTCTCAAGAACATGAACGACCCCGCCTGGGACGAGACCAACCTCTGAGGAGCACTGTCGCTTCTTCCGCCAAGACCAGCGAGGAGCCCCAGCCGGGGGGCCCCACAGCCCTCGCCAGGGGGACCTTCAGGGCTACGGGGCAGGGCTGGTACAAAAGTCATCTTTCTGGGCATGGAAAAGACAGAGTTTATCCCACAAATAGACATGGTCACACCGTTGTGAAGAATCCAGACGCGAGGTTTAGACCCTGAGGGCTGGACTGCGTCAGTTTTACTCTGTTAACATCTCAATTACCTCATTTTGCAATAAGTGCGGTGACTACAAATCCTGGTGTTTCAGGCTTTTATTGATCTGTATGAATAATCGTACATACACGTTTCTTATAAACCCTCCATTTTGAACGCACACCCATGGCTGTGGTGTCCGGGCTGGTCACCCGTGCTAGAGCTCCCTCCCCCTGACCTTTCCTGGTCCCACCAACAGCAAGTCGCGGTCGCGTGCTCACGGCGAGCAGCGGGGCCAGGGTGCCTGGGACGCCTTGCCGGACGCCTGGTCGGCTCTCCAGCGTGGCCCGTGTGCTCAGAAAGGACCTCCCACTTTGGTGTGCCCACGCGGTCTTGTTTGTACCCGCACAGACACCGAGCTCCCCTGCAAGCTTTGCCGAAGCAGCGTTGCTGCCGCCGGCACGCTCCGTGAGGGAGACTCCGGCTTCCGCCACCAACCCCGACGAGGCCCCTGCGCACCACCGTGTCCAGCCGCCGGCGTCCGCGCTGCTCTGCTGTGGGAGGGCTGCGGCTCGTCAGCCTGCGTCCTCTGCGCTGGGGGAGAACAGACTTGTCCGTGGAGGCTGGTTTAATACGGGACAGAGCGCACCGTTGTCTCCCTGCCCCGCGAGTGCGAGCTCCGCTAGAACCTGTAAATAAACTCGTATTTATCGCGTGTCACTGGGGCCGAGGAAGGCATGCTGGGGATCCCGGAGCTGACCTGGCGGGTGCAGGTGCGAGTCCTTGTGAGGCCTCTGTAAGCCCCGACCTCCTTACCGTGAGTGTGCAGCAAGCCTTCCGTGCTCACTGGGAAAAAGGTTTTCCTCCTCCAGTGAGAATAAAGCAATATGAATTCTGCCTAAAGTAGTCCGTTGAAGTGCGGGTCCATTCCGCCACACCTAAACCACAGTGGGGACAGGGAGGAAGCCCGGCTGAGCCCAGCGCCGCTGACCTCTCTGGGCTGGGGACGTGGGGAACCTGAGAGCCCCTGGGCAGGACCTGCAACCGTGGTGCCAGCGCACTCTGCTTCATGGGCAGGACACCGCGTCCCGGGAGCTGCGCTGTCTGCTCCCCTCTCCTGGAGAGGTCGGCTTCCAGCGGAGGGAACCTGTTCTCTAGAACGAGTGTTTTGTCTTTAAAAACAAACAGCAGCGCTACAGACTTCCAGACACAGCCGTGTGGCACCCGGTGGGTGACCTTGTGACCGCTTCGGGGTCTCCTGAAGCCTTGGACCTGGGCGGCTCTGGGACTCTGCCTTTCTGCTTGCCGGGTGTTCTTGCGCAGGTCGGGGCTGAGCACGCGCCCGCCCCTCTGCTGGGGGCGGGCGGTTGCTGGAGCTGGGCCTCCTGGCTGCCTGCCCAGCAGGTGTGCGCGTGCCCAGCACCGACCCCCCCTCCTGTGGCCTTTGTGGTAGAATTCCCAGCTTCCGCGCTTGGCACGTGGTTTCTTAGTGCTAGGACTAGCAGAGAGCGCCTTTTGGGGGGAAACCCTGTTTTACGGTGCTTTTGGTGATGCGGAAGACCTTGCCGCAGAAAACCGTGTGGAGGGTTCCGAGGTCTGCGGTCCTGAACTCAGGACGGCCTTCACCCCGACCTCTCCACCTCTCTGGGATGGGCCCTGTTGCCGGCCACTCCCAAGACGGGTCTCCTAAACCTGTCTTAGCATGACGGAAGCGCTGATGGGCACGCACGTGCTTCTCCCTCGACCCGCTCGGATGGGATCATAGGGTGCTGGTGCGGCGTGCTCCCCTCTCCCCCCACAGATCTGGTAGTGCACTAGGCCTTTTCGGGCGCAGAGTCTGAGAGCTGTTCTTTCTATAAACCTGCCCCCTCGTAAACCACTTCCGTCGCTCTGACCTTCCCGGGGTCGGGGCAGTGTATTGGTGGTGGTGGGTGGAGGGGCTCTGTTTACCCTAAGGGCGAGGGGGTCACACGCTTGCATTTCTATACCACGTTGAGATGAGGTGGTGGAGACCGTCCTTCGGGCTTCCGGTGTGCCTCTCGTGTGCACCAGGTCCTGGGACGGGGGCGCCTCGGGGCTGGTCTGCTCCTGCCGTTGCCCGCTCTGGGGCCCTGGGACGCACGGCATCCCTGTTGACAGTTGTGGCGCCCCGTCATGTAAAGGCCTGACTGTCCAGGCCGTGACTGCTCACGCTCCATCGCTGCGATCATTAAACTGACTTTCCTTACGCGACGTCCCTTTACGTCCTGTGATGTGGTGGAGATTTGTGTACGTTTCCTCCATGCTTTATTCTGACTTAACTCTTGAAGAGTTTCGGTGTAAATTTTTGAGGTAGGAAAAAAGCACGTTTGGCTTTAAAATCTAGGGTTTGGGACTGTCTGAAGATACATCCGATTAGGAAAAGGAAGGCTGTAGGGAAGGAGGAGGAAAGGACAGCCGGTGCCGTGAGGTGCAGCCCCTCGCCGTCTGTAGAACAAGGACTTTCATCCTAGAGGACACGTGGTAGCCCGCCCGGCGGGTGGGCCGACAGAAGGCATCTTTCAGGACTTCTGGGGTGTGCTCCAGGGACACGCATTACACCGGCAAGTTGCTCGCTTGCTAGAGCGCGGGCCTTACCCGTCCCTCCTGGCACAGCTTCCCAGCGGCTGCCCCGTCAGGCTGGAACCCATGTGCACCTTCTCTCCCAGAGCTCCCGCCCTTCAGGAAGGAGCCGAGCAGCGCACCTCCCAGTCCCTGGGGTCTAGGAAAACTCTGTCAGGTGACTTGGCAACTGCTCTTTTGTCCTCTTTCCCCCAGATCTTACGGGGACGGTGATGGCGCACGAGTCCTGCAGAGCGCGCAGTCATGCTCCGTGCCGGCGCTCCTCCTGGTGGCTTGCTTCTGCCAGTGGCCCGGCCCTCCAGAGGGCGGGCCATCCCCGCGGCCATGCCCCTGGCTTGCCACGGCCCAGAGCAGTGGCTGAGAGCCTGGCCGTGAGCCGGGGACACGGGGTGGCAGGCTGTCCCTGGAACGGGGCCGCGGCCAGAGTGCCCGTGTGCCCGGCTCTGCACACAGCCGTGCCCGACACCCGGCCCCCGGGAGCCCCAGTGCAGCTGGCGGCCAGAGTTGGGAGGATTTCCGTTCCTTCCAGCTGGAATGGGTCGTGCGGAAGTCCCTTGTGTGAGCCCCATCGGGCCCGTGTCGCTCAGTTGTTTACCTTGCGGGGGAACATTTGTATTTTTTGTGCTCGTCTCCACAGTAACACCTGCGCGTGGGGGAGACGCACAGGGACGCGAGGTGAGGAGTGTGTCCCCTCTCCCGATAGCCTCTCCGGCTTCCACGAGGGCAACGACCAGGGTGACGGGGCTCGTGTGTCCCTCAGTTCTGTCGGGTGTGGTTTTATTCCCCACAAAGGAGAACACGTGGATTGTGCTTTTCTGCCTTTGTCTTAAAGCCCCGTGGGATGGAATGGGCCGCTGTTCCCCATCGTAGCAAGTCCGTGCTGGATCGAAGACCTGGGTGGGAAGAAGGGAGCTTGAAAGGGGCAGACCACGGTCTTCGCCTACTTCAGAATGTTCCCCCTCGTCTGGGGGTGGCGCGAACGCCCCAGCGGCAGGAGGTGCTGGGGAAGGGCAGGCAGTGTCCTGTGTGCAAGCCGGCGAGTGCTACCGTGACCGCGTTCCTTTCTGGGAACATTGTGTCTTTTAATTTTGATAAAATTTGCCAGATTCCTAGAAGGCGTTTTAGAAATGACTTTCTTGATGATCTTATGCTTATAGTTTTTCAAAAAAAAAAAAAAAAAGGCAGTTGAGGGAAGCCCTGGTTTCCGTCTGTAAACACGGCAGATCCCACCGTCTGGCTTCTCCACGCGGTTTTACGAAGCTGCTACGGTTCTGCGGCTCCCCCTTCCGCCACCGACTGTTTCTTTCCTCTGGGCAGATGGGCCTCTCGGGAGACTTGTCCGTTTCCTCCCCCGCTTCTGCCCCCGCTCCCTGCCCTGCCCACAAGTGAGGCTCCTCGTGTCTGGGCCACTCTGCCCCCTCCGTGGCCCTGGCTGCACCCCCCATCCTTGGAGAGCCTCCCAGAGCGCCCCCGGCCCACCCTGCCGGCTGACGTGGCTCCTGCCTCTCCCTGCCCTGCCCGCAGCGCTGCAGGGTGAGGTCGGTGGGGTGAGGGTCCCCCAGCCCAGGGCAGTGGAATCCCGGTACGGCTTTACTAAAGGGTTAGGAGTTGCAATTCCCAGCGGTTGTCATGGGTCCTGGTGTCACTCTTGCTGTTTGAGCGAAGCCGTGACAGTACCTCCGTTCCCCCCAGCAAGGCCTCACCGTTGGCAGCAGCAGACGTGTCTCAGCTGAAACGCAGTGAGATCAGTGGGGTCACTTGTCCTCAGGGGGAACGGGACTCAGCGCTGGCACACGGCCGTGCTGGCTGCTCCCTTGGCCGAGGCTTCGTGCTGCCCAGCTGCAGTGTGGCCCCGGCCCCGCAGGGGAAGCGAGGCGAGGGTCCAGCCGCCAGAGGAGCCTGGCCGACACTGCTGCTCCGTGGAGGGCCGGACACCGAAGACCACACCTCGCAGCCATCTGAGGGCCGAGCGCGGCGGGCCTCGCCGGCAGGCGGCCAACCATGAGTGACGGGGCAGGGGCGAGTCACTGTGTGCGGCTGCGGGGTTTCTCCCTGGGCTTTGGCAGACGTTCTGCGGTGGGTCGTGATGGTCGCAGACTCCGCGGCTGTTTGTCCTGGAGCGTCTGGCCCGTGAGTTGCAGGCCGTGGGCACCAGGCTCGCGTGTGGGGCTGTCAGAAGCCCTCCGGACGGGGGCGCTACCACGGAGCAGGCACTGGTGACATGTTGGGCACTGGGTCGTCACCCTCGTGTTACAAACGAGGAGTTCATGGCCCCAGGAGGCCAGGTCCTGTGGCTGATGATGAGGGGACCAAAGCCTGCGTACCTGTGACGTGAGCCGTGGGAGGGACGGGCACTGCCGGACCTGCAGGCTCCCCACCAGACCTCAGGCTTTCCGAGCTGTTCTGGCCGGGGGCCCAGCTCCCACCCCCGCCCCCCTGTGGGCCGCCCTGGCTGTGTTTGTGCCCCTCCCCCCCGCACCCTCTGCTCCACTCTGGCCTG